ACAGAAATTGAAGCAACAATATTTCCTAAAGACCGACTCTTCGACAAAGCAGTCCTCTCTTCCATCGACGAGGAGATATCTGCCAATAAGGAATTCATATTTAAATCCATCACAGTCAGGAAACTGTCATACAAGCAGATACCAACAACGAAGTGGGTCCAAACGGGGAGAAAGGGAATCCAGAAAAGAAAGAAGCTCAGACATAAAAGTGGTCCGTAAGTGCGAATGGATTTTAGGCGACGTAGAACGAGATCTTCTGCATAATGCTTCTTCGTATTTTCCGATACTAGGTCGACGTCGGAGAGATATCCGAAAAGAGGATCGTTGATCGAGTTCCACAGCAAAAAGATAATTTCTCCGAGCCAGAATGACCCTTTATCAACCTAAAAATCGGTTTCGATTTCGTCTTCAAAATTTGATCAAACCTTGTAGGAGTAAACATAAACATCGACATGGTAAATCAGGAAAACATTGTGCACAATCGCAAGGAAAAACGCCAGGAGCCCGTATGCTCTTGTCCGGAGAGCTTTCATTCTCTGTATGACCACATTTTTGTCTTTTCGAAGTCCGTCTAAATCGCAAACAATCAATGAGGGGAAATATCAGGGTGGCTATTTTGGACAAAATTTCGGGGTCTGGCCATCCAATTTCCATCCAATAAATTTTGAGTCGAAGCTATCCATCCAAAATCCAATCCAATCCAATTTTACCCAATTTCCCAATAATCCCCAATTCCAATTGGATCCAATTGGGTTTCCAATTTTTCCAAGGCTTCTAGTACTTTAAAAAGAAAGGAAACAGTAAGTTTTTATCCGAAAGGAGGATCAACTCTGCCAAACGATGATTTTTTTATCTGAAATTGTTCATTTTCATCATGAAAATGACCCTACTTTGCATAGTTTAGGGATATATTTTTTATTGGATCCGATTCCCCAAATTTCCCCCAATTGCCCAATTTTCCCCAACAAAATCCGGTACCCTGGCCATCCAAATTCCATCCAAACCTTATTGGATTGGATCCAATCCAATTCCAACTAACCCCCAAATCCAAAATAGCCACCCTGGAAATATTTAATCAACTCGAGGACTTTCTAAATAGAATCACCGGCGTACTTGGCGGTGGGAAACTTTCATTTAGGCTCAAGGCTCGAGTGATCCGGCTTTCTTTTATGAATTTTAGCTTGTTTTCAATTAGTCGTAAATAATTTATTTTTGTTCAGATTTTTTATTCTCTTCACTTTCACTTTTCGCTTCAGTCTTCTCTTTTTCCTGACTGGAATCGGCTTCTGCGGCGCTAGAATTCTTTTCCGCTTCCATGAGCGCCGCCACAATGGCAGAATCTTTAGCGTTATTAATCTTCGCCACCAAATACGGGCTGACGACTTTGCCCTTTTGATTGATTTCTATCATCTTTTCGTGACGCTCTTCAATTAGGCTGACAGTAAATTCCTCTGTCTTGTATTGATCTTCGATTCCAAGGACTTCGATTGCTTCCGATAACGACATTTCACGGCTGGGACCCATTTTTTCGAAAAAGTTTTTGTTTTGAGCCGCTTCTTCTTTCTTTAAAAACAATTAGAGAAAACATTTTATAGATTGAGAATTCTTACTTCCCGGGCCTCTGCTGCCTCAGCTCTGATCTTGTTCTGCTTGTAAGTCTCTGTCACAGCAGTTCGAGCCGCATTTAGCGATGCTTTTGCTGTTTTCTGAGCGACAATGGCGAGCCTCTTGAATGAGTCCCAAGTCATACTGAAACTAAAACTGTAACGAAGTCAAACACTTGTTTTATTAATGAAAGTTTATTGCACCGACTAAGCAGTAACAGAATATTTTTTATTTGAAAGAACAATACAGGAGCTTGAAGGCGAATTTCGGACACTTCTATGTTGAAATAGAAATGCCCGTGTAAAACACTTGACTTTGAATCATAAAATACTCGATACAGAAGATAATCTTGTAGGCTTTGAATCTATTTTTAGGCTTTTTAACAGCTTTTAACACATTTTAGCGACATGAAAAAATATACGAATGGAGAAAGAGATTTATGAGAAATTCTCTTCCTTGATTTCAGAAGCGCGTCAGATACTAGTCAGGTAGACTTTTGCGAAGAGAAGGCGAAACTTAGAAGCAGTGAGAGTTGTCGATACCTGAAGGAAAACACGATTGGGACCGCAAATAACGGCATGTAGGAGATACTCTGATCTGAAGTTATTTTCACCAGTGGAAAGCGTGTGTACTAGTTTAGCGTAATTGAATCTATTGGGTTTTGAGTTGATTTGGTGTTTCTATAAGTTAACTCTAAAATGAGAAAGATTACGAAAGATAATCCAACTCTGGAGGATCGATGTGATTTTGCATGTCTTTATTTTGTCGAGCAAGAACAGCGTCGTCCTGTCTATCCCACCACCATTTTTGCCTGTCGTTGCCATCATCACAAGCTTTGAGATAGACCTTTTTCTTGTCCTAAAAAGAACATAAAAATCATTTATTGATACGAGGAAAACCGGATCGGCCGTAGCGCAAGCTCTGGAAGGCGCGTGGATGAATTGCTTCTTGTCGGGGAGATATTTGAAGAGCTGGTTGCCACCTTGTGTGTGGCACTCCCAAAAACCAATTGGATTTCCGATTCCAGTGCCGTCCCAGCATTGTTTTCGCGCGTCAGAGGCTTTTTTATTTTCGACATCTAAAGATAACTATCAAAATGGGAGCCGATTTTAAAATCAATAATTTGAAAATAATCATCTGAGAACTAATCGAAGTTCATTTATGAGAGATAAACGGATCGTTGGGTCGGATAAATGAAGATAAATTGCATGCTAAGTGCTTACCAAAATTTTTCCAAAACATCATTTTATCCATTATCCCACCTGATTTAATTAAAATAGTTGTACGCCTTAAAAACTTACTTGATCCGCTAAGAGGTCGGATATCTTCATGCCAGGTGAGCATCCATTGACCTTCCTTGACTGCGTTACATTCGGAGAGTGAAAGCTGATCTCCTTGACCAGCGTGATGTCCATCGACGCATAGATTCGTACCAACGTTTGTGATATGTCCGCGAGCTCCATTTCCGGGTTCAACAAGAGGGAAATATTTTGGTAAGTCGTAGCCGATCTCTTTCATGAACCAATCGAAGGATTTGCACTGAAGCCGTTCTCGTACCGCTTTAACTTCAGTGAGATCTCCAGGATCAACATGTTTAGCATTAGGTTTTCGCTCATAAAAGTATTTAGCGTAGTCATCCCACCAGACTTCCACCACTCGAACGTAGTTTCGATCGACGAAATTTCCTTGAAGAAGATCAATTTGCGAGAGCGTAATAAAACTGTCTACCTTTGACATAAGATGGAGTACCATTGCCCCTCCATCCCTTCATTCTGTAAATATGTCCAACTCTGGAACATGGAACAAAAAGCATCTGTCCGTGACACATCCAGATTTTGTATGAAATTTCAAAGTTTTCTCCTCCCCAAATATCGAGTCCTTGATCGTACAAACCAAGTTCAAAGAAGAACTTTCGGGAAATTGCAAAAAGACCACCAGCCATGGCGGGCGATCGGTAAGGCGATGTAGTATGCTCTTGTCGAGCCTAAAACTGATTTAAAAAGGGTAAATGAGTGTCTAAGTACCCTCTCTCGATCGTTCAAAGGAATTCTCTTCCACAGCAAGTCCCAATCCCAAGCTCCTCTAGCAAAATTATTCTCATCTCCTCCCGCTTGTGGTGAGAAGACATATGTTGAACCATCGATAGCATCCACCATAGGAACAGTGCAAATTCGATAGTCGTGGACCATTGGCTCAACAAGGGGAACAAGCCAGTTCGGCTGAACTTCACAGTGTGCATCGAGATAGACTAGAACTGAGCCGACAGCTTTCTTCGCTCCGATAGATCGAGCTCGAATCAGACCTTCTCTACGCTCGTTTCGGTAAAGCTAGAATTTTTTAGACCGGTTTCGAAAAAATTTCTTTACCTTGACAAGTCCATTCCACTGTTTGATATGCTCCTCAAGTCGACCTCCGGTAATATGTTCCTTCGTCGAGCCATCGTCAATCAGCACAACTTCTTCGAGAAGCTCTGGAGGCGAAAAATTTACGACCGAGTGAATACTTCGTACTAGAGTAGACCAGCCCTCGTTGTGAAAGACGAAAATGACCGATGATGCTGGGAGTTTTTCTGGGTATTGGTAGTGTTTGCATTCTTCGTGACGCAAATCAGCTGGATAGCGATCGAGTGAGACAGCATCCGATGCCACCATATTGAAGCCGAATTCGTTGATAGCTAGAATTTCAATAGAAACGAAGCCATTGAAGTGAATGACTTACCATCTTTCTGTTTCTTCTCCATCTCCGGCGAGTTATCCAGCTTGACTGGCTCAAGTCCACCTTCACCCGGACCCGCAGGGACCTTCCAATCCTTCGGCTCGTAATTGCCAATCTCATCTTTCGTCAATTTTGGGAAACCCTCCGCCAAGGCTGGGTCAATATCTTCAAGTCGAAGCTTACCACCAACAGATGCGATAGAGTCCATGGCGCGTTTTTTGAGATCATTGTAAGAGCTTTCCGTCTCTCGGATAAACTCTTCGGTGGTCTTGGGCCACATGGCAAACATTATTCCACCGAAGCATCCAAGGAAGACAATGAGCTAAAAATAAAGTTACCACAGCGATTTACAGATGTTCGAAAACCTTTAAAACAGACTTGACATGAATACGAACAGTCCTCATCTTCGTATATTTTCTTTGATATTTTACGATTAATAAATCATCTAAAATGAAATAACGATTACTTACAGTAGAAAAATATATTTTATGAATTAACAAAGTATAAAAATTAATATGCTTCCTTCGAGAATTCGTCGCTGAGCTCTTTCAGCTCTTCTTGGCTCTCAAAAAGGTCGTTTTTCTCCTTTAGATTTGATAGTTTTATGCGAAGTAGTTTTTCTTCATCGAGAAGGGTTTTTTCGAGCTTGTTGTACCATGGTTTGATCTTGCTTGTTTCAGAATCGAGGTCAGCAAGTCGATTGATCTGATCTTGGACTTGAACGCCGAGGTCGACGATTGACTTTGATAAGGATCTTTTAGGCATTTTTGCATTTCACATGCATTTTTATGCATTTTAAACAGATGCTTCTGGGGGCGCTCTTGCATTGAAAATCGAAATATAAACCTTTTCACACTTTGTTCCCATTACTGTTTCAATTTAATGTTTTAAAATGATTCAAAAAGATTTAGACTCCGTGCGTCAAATACTGGTCTTGATACATTATTATAAATAAAAAAATCCTGCCTTTGGTAGTTCATGATATTCTGGGTCTATGTATTCTGTTTTGATAATTTCTTCAGGCTTTGGTGGCGGAGGCAAAGGTGCCGCGATATATTCTTGTTTTTCTTTTCCGCTTTGAATCGCTTGATCGTGAAGTCGTTTTTCTTCTCTGACATTTACTGTGATCGGGACAGGTTCTGGTAAATCATCGAGTGATGCGATTTTAGTGTCGAGATGGCCTAGGTATTCTCTGTAGTGTTTCAGAATCTAGGAGATTTTGAGTGAGGAATAATTATGACTTTTTACCTCTAGCAGGAGTTCTTGGTGCTCTCCGAATTTCAGGATTTCTGTTTCTGGGCAAAGTTCTTTTAGCAACGAGACTGGCTTCTCTTCTTTTGGAACTTTCCACGATTTTGGCGCAACTGCCTTGTGTATTTTCTTGTAAGAAGTAAGAGCTTCCTTCTTTGTGTACGCAAACGCAGGGTCCGTCACTGTCTGATTGAGAGATACTGTCACGGTTTGATTCTGATAGAAAGAAACTTACCTGCCCCGGGCCTACGGAGATATTCTCCGAAATATGAAGATTGAAAGGGGGCAAAGGATCGAGTTTTCTTGGAGATTGAGCTTCGTCTTTTATTTTAGAATTCACGATGCCGTCAATTTCTTCTTTGATCTTTTCTTCAAACGTTTTCTTCCTAACCTGGCCCTCCGCGTTTTCATTTTTTGAAGAACTCGGCCAGTATTGATCAGGGAAGTCTTCAGGGTCGGTATTTTTTCGATCGGTGGAAGGGGTTGAATAACATTCTGGCTGGAAATTTCGAAGTTCTTGAGAATCTCCGGTTTGACGCCGTTCAGCCCTTTCATTTCCAGCCCGGATTTCTGAACCAAAATTCAAAAGAAACGACCCTTGAAAACGAAAATCCTCCGCAACGAAATTATGAATGAATTTGCACTTTTTAATTTTAGAATAGTTTTTAGAATCACAAATTACACATTAACCTTTTGCAAATATGAAATAGGCGAAAGAAGAATAAAGATATATGAAACAGAAAAATCGAATGTGGCTTCAAAGGCTTTAGAATTTCTTTCTTTATTTAGTTGAACTTAGAACTGCACACCTCCGTTTGGATCAGAATCATACGGTTTTGAAGAATAGAATAGAATGTACGCGGTAGGACTGATCGCTTTGCTTTCTAGTATGCTTGTGACTTCCGCATCATCAGCTCTAAAAACAAGTTTACAAGCAGAAGGGACCTGTTTAACAAACTTGACCCAGCCTTTGGCGCGTCTGCATGAAGCAACATAATGTCCAGAATCGGTAGAAGCACCAATATGATGAGTAACCGCGATAAGGTTATACGGCGGTTGTTTCTTCTTCCCGAGGGTCTGTGGTTTTAGATCGAAGCCTTTGGTTGGATAGGTGATGTTCGTCTGAAAAATGATGGTTATCAGTAGGTTGATCTTTCTGGATATGAAGACAGTAACACGCTTTACGGTCTGATTCAGATTTTCACGCTAGAATTGTAGATGATGATGGAGAGCGATTGAGTATAAAATGAATCACCAAAAATACGATATTTGAAAATTTAAGATGCCTAAATAGATTGTTTAATCTTCTTATATTTATTGCTCTAATGAAAACGACTTTGCAAAATAAACACAACATTTACCGATACTTTCGACTTCCATCTTCCATCCGATTTAAATCTCTTCAAATGAATAATCAACAACGTAGGCATCCTCCACAAACGCAGGGTTCTCTCAGCATCTCTCGGCTTTTTGCACTAGAAAAATGTTGCATGTCAGTTTTGATTAGATCGACGAGCATCGAGCGGGACGAGCACCGTCAATTAGCCCGAAAATGATTACCTTAGGGCATGTCCAGCGATCGTTGCCTGTCAATTTTTCCGTCTGCTGGAATAGATTCAGACAGTTTTCAAGGGTCGCCTTTCCCGTTGCAGGGATCGGTAAAGAGAGGAACATGAAGGCATCGAACTTGACGGACGTGAACTTGCACGATAAGCATTTTATCGTTGCTTTGAATTGACCTTTCGAAAGAATTAAAATCGCGTGAAATTATATGATCACAAACCTTGGAAAAGGTCAACAATCATAGATTTATTCAGTCTCGTATGATTCTCCCAGGATTCATCAGCTACAGTTTGATCGGGCCTACCATCTGCATCCTTAAATATCGCATTATGAACTGTGCTACTAGCCATATTCTCACCTTTTCTTCAATATAACGGCGCTCCTTGACTTTATTCAAGTCTTCATGGAGGCCATCAAGAAGAAAAATCAACAATTCTTGAGCATCCTGCTGCTTATAATTGCCAAAAATTGGATTGCAAGTGGCCAGCGCATTCTTGAACATTTGCGGCTTGAAGTTTTTGAAACCACCGTGCCATAGACCTGAGAATTGAAATTGCCAGCGATCTTGAGCTTGAAAATTTTATTACCTTTCGCAACTACAGCAAAATTTTCAGCAATGAGCCCTTTGTGTCCGAGAAAGTTGGTCTTGTTGATGTCGCTTCTGTATCTATCCGTAAGGAACTTTTCGACAAGAGGAGCGAGGCTTCCAAGGGATTGGATGATTGAATTCATGTAACAGGTGTTGCCAAGATTCTTGAGTCCAGTAAAGCCTCTCTCGACGGAGCCATGAACGGGCATAAGAAGCTCGAAATCGTTAATTTGCTTGATGCTCTTTCGCGCCGGTTTAGAGCCTCTGTCAAGTTCAGCTCCTAATCGAAATTGTCAAGACATCATTTCACTATCCAAACTTACCGTCAGGGAGAGACCAGCTGGTTGTTTTATCCTTGTGATTGAGATAGTAGAATCTGTTTGTGTTTGGATCGTACTTGCGCTCGGTTCCATCTGGCAGGTTCAGCTCAGCTTGTTGTGTGACGCGTTCTTCTGTTGAATTTCTCTTCGGCGGACTTTGTTTGACTTCTGCTTGTTTTGTTTCAGCTTCCGCTTTTTTCGTTGGAGCTTCTTTGTTGTTTTTCTGAGGCTTTGGTGCGGTTGGTCGCGCCGGGGTTGCGTCTTTGGTACTGGAGTTGGTACTGCTTTGAGTCTTCTTAGGAGCTTTGTCGGTTGTCTTTTTCTTCCTAGATAAGGCTGGTAAAAGATCCATGAAGCCAAACATGACCCAAACCTGAGATCGTCGAGTTCGTGCGCTCGATTCTTTGCTTCTAGTGCTGCGATTTGAGCGCGGAGCTTCTCAATCTCTTCCTCCTCCTTGCTTTTTGCCTGGTTAGGTACTGCTGGTGCTTCCCTCAATGGCGTTCTTCGTCGTTTTAGCTCTTCAGCTTCAAGAAGCGCCAGTCGATCGAGTTTATCCTTGAGGTCGGGGTTTTGCTCTAGCACAGACGGAATTTCTTCTTGTGCTGCAGGTGGAGTCGGTTCTTTTAGCGGCTTAGGTTGTGGCTCGATAGGTTTGGCTGGAGGAGGCGGAGTGGGTTTAGGTTTGGGCTTCGGCTTCGGGTCGAGAATCTCTGCTACAGAGTCATAGTTGACCTCATCCGCTGATCCTGGAGAATAAATTTTGAAGCCGCAAGTTTGAGCAAATATTGGCTCCATAGAGCGTAATTGAGCAAACTTTATGATAAATTTACTCTGATTCCTACAATGGTAACTACCAGTACTTACTGAAACAATAAATTCTATAGAGCGTATTTGAATATCATACGAATTCTTTTCGCGATTATAATAAAAGTAATGATTTGGAAACAACGACTTACGAAGGATATCAGACTCGCGGAAATTCGCCTTTGGGACTTCTTCTGTAGGATCGCTCATCATAAAATTATACAACGAGCGCCATTCGTAAAGTCCACCATCAAGGACGCGGATCCTATCCTTTGAAATTTGCTTTGGACTGTCAAATTCAGTCAGAGCTACGTTGATGTTTGTAAGAAAACGGGGAGTCGAAAGCAATTTACCTTTGAAAGTGTTGAGAATAGGATTTTGTTTGACCAGCAAATCAGTCGTGGAAGATCTTTCAGAGAGAAGAATGATGAGTCGACATTGGTGACGATGCTCAAAGGGGAATGGATTGTTGGGAGGTTTCAGAGAGCCATTTGTGAGCTGAGGGCCGATGCTTTGATCGTTGGAGACATTTTCAATTGGAACGTGTATAAGAGCGGGGTGGTGCGGCCATTTGGGAAGAAAAGCGATTCGATTTCTATTGAAAGCTTCTCTTGAGCGAATATCTAGGATCATAATGCCTCCAGCTTTGTACATCTGTTCGCCGTGATCTTTGACTAACGCGACGAGATCCTTAGGCACTATTCCCGTAGGAGTTTTGTTGATGATTTCATCGAGACTTTTTGAAAGCTGCTCTTCCTCTTCTTTCTTTGCCTGGCGATCTTTGCGTTCTTTTTCGTCTTTGATAGATTCAAGCCGGACTTTTTCTTCAAGAATATGATTGTATCTACTCTCGAGGATCTGTTTAAGTTCTTCAACCCTTTCAAGAACTGGAATGAGTCGTTTCATGTAAGATTTCTCATCGTGAAATTTCTTGTTGGTTTTGTAGGCTGTTGATCTTCGAAAGTTGACCATAGTTTCGAGCAACGCAAACTTGAAAATGTACTCTTTCTCTTCATCGTTTGCGAGTCTGTTTTCTTCAGCTGCTTTCCACAGCTTTTCAAGCCACGTGACTATCTCCTGCGCTGGCTTTCCGACCTTGACTCGCTCGGTCGCAAGCTCATTGAGCTTTTTGACGCCTTCATCTGGTTTCGCAAGGTACAGGTCTACTGGCATCTCTGCTTGTTCTCTACATAACCCGATCCGATTTTCCTCTGAAAAAGTCAAAAAAGTCAGCTGCTTTAGTTACTAATTGGCAGTCTAGATACATTTTTGAACTTGTAAGGATCTTTCTTTAGAAATCGACGAGATCATCCATTGAAATTGTTTCAACAACTGGAGCAGCATCATCATCATCGTCAACGAATTGGACAAGTTTTTCGTCAGTAAGGTCTGAAATAGATCATTGAACTTGAATGACTACTGCTGCATTTTCGAATGAACATGAGTTTACCTGGATTTCGACAGCGCTCCCACTTGGCTTTGAGTTGACCGACGACTTCTGGGGCCGGAATCTCTTTGTCGGACTTTTTGACAGCGCTCCGGATCTTTTTGATAGCAGTTTTGAAGTGCTCATATTCTGGTGATTCTTTGGAATCGGGGAACAATTTTCCGAGAATGTACCTAACATTGAAGAAGAGAGATACCACTATTTCTTGACTCACTGATCAATGGACACTTTATTCTCGCTCGCTGATTGTCTGCAAGCGGCAATTGCGATCACTGATGGTGGGTGAAGAAGAGGAACGTCAGTGCGGAAGACCTTATCGAGAAAAGCATATGCATTTTGGCGGAGAATATCGCTGTTTTGAAGACCCTCGCATCTCGCTCGAAGATCGATGAGAAATCCTTCTAGGGGTCTGTATGGATTATGTATTGTCAGGTGATACTAGTCAAGAAGTGTTTATTTCGCTGCTGGAAGTTTTCTGTTCTCACCTTCAGAGCGTGAATAATCGGCAATTCGAGAGACAAAATGATGTCCTCGAAGTGGGTGCATTCGTCTTGATCCTTCGGCTGCAAATTCTCGACAAACTCTGTAATGGAGACGTTGAACTCCTCAACTTTGGTGGCGAGCCAGAGACATGCAAAAGCAACAAAACGCGGGTTGTATTCCATCGCAGACGTCCGGAGGTAAAAACGCTTGAAGTAAACGATTGCAGTGGCTTTGACGGTCGGAGGAAGGCTGAATATGTTCTTGACAGGGACCTAAAATTAAGAATGATAGATAAATAATTTTAAGAAGAAGCACCTTGAAGTGGTTGCAGAAACTTTGAAGTCTTCCTTCATAATACTTTATATATTTGAGCTCTTCATCTGGAGCAAGCCATTGAGAGGGCCCTAGCTTCAATCGTGAGCTCATTTTCGACCGGTAGTTTTCGTTGACCCTTTCTCGAAGGGTGAAGAGGTCATCTTTCGAGGAAAATGTCCAGTGCTCGCGCTGGGTCGATGTGTGAAACATTCTAAGAACAAAATTTTGAATATTTATTATAAAAAATTCAGATTGAAGAATGTTCAGATAATCTCTAGTTTATTGAGTAATTGATGCAGACTATCAGACATTGAAAACGTCGGTACTTATCTTCATTCTTCTAGATGGAACTTTTCTTAGATTTCAATCTCTTTCATGGGTATTTTCTTCTCTGAAAAGTAACTTAACGGTTTTGCTTGTGCTTCATTTCAGTAATATTGGAAAATCGCCGCGAGCTCATTGGCCAACGTCGCTCTTTATTGAGAAAGCCCCCCAGAAAATTTGAACGAGAGATTTTGAGAGTCTGTGCCAGTCTTTGTGGAATTTGGGTAATGAAGATATCCAAGTCAACTCGCATTTTTAGAGTTGACCGTGTTGAAAATATGCCAAAGGCGAATCTCTGGGGTGATATTCTGATGGAGCAAGAACTCACTGCCCAGCTTGAGGATGCACTGGGCGCGATGGAGACTCAAGGAGGCACTTTTTGCAAGTAATTACAGTACTATTCCTTTCCTACGTTAATTCAACGATTTCTAGCGCTAAGAACTTCCGAAACAAACGAATCCGACCGCACCAAATGAATCAGTGCCGCAAAGGAAAAGAACAACCCGGAAATCGCCACAATCAAAAGCCCCAGATCGTCAAGAAGCTGCACACTGGCTTTCCGAGAGTCGAAATGGGAGTTCCAAGAATTCTCAAATCCAAAAGCCCTTTGAGCGAAGAAATGACTTCTGAGGAGTTGACGCAAGAGATTCGCTTCAGATTATGGGAGCACAAACTGTAAGCTAACAGCGTAAAATTAGCGATTTTATTCTTTATTTGATTTCTAGCATCCAGCTACGAGCTCTTATCAACATCTGCGGCAACAAAATTGCCATTGAATTAATGGAAAAAGTTATCGAAGCTGAAAAAGAGGTTTGAATAGTAGCACTTTTTATTTTTCTTTCAACTAATTGTAATAGGGTGGAGTCATGTGCGAGAGACGAAAGCAGCGACGACTTCCAGGAGGAGTCTTTATCCATTTTCTCCGCGAAAGAACTGATGTCGACCAGGAAGAAGTGAAGAAAGTCCTCGACGCACACAGAACTTGGGGCCAGAAAAAGTCTAAGAACAACAACCCTGTCAAGCATTCAAAAACGCCCGAATCATCAATGGAAGCAGAAACGACGCCTCAAAAGGCCGAGGATCCGCAAGTTGCCGCTGATGAAAACCAGGAGCCTGGAGAGATTGTTTAGGAAAATTCACGGTTTCTTTCGTTTCCCACTTATTCATAATTGTTCTTTCAAATTTTGACCCTTTTCAACATTCACACTTTTAAAATTTAGTGAAATTATCAATTTCAACTGCCATTTATCGTTCCTTTATCTTCTTTAATAAAGATTAATGTTCAAAGATCAATGGCGACTTCTGCTTTTTGCGCAAGAAAAAGGGAGATTTCGTTTTATAATTGGATGAATTTATTGAGCAGGAGAATTTTTTCTAAGCAAAGGAAACTGTACAGGCAGAAATAGGGCTTCCAGAAGAGAGGACTGAGATCAGATTCTGGTATGACTTCTCGGAGATTTTCATCTTCTTTGGCGTTTCTGGGCTTTTTTCTGGCGACTCGTCTCTGACGTCTTCGAAAAGTTGGTGGCCCTCTTTTGTCGGGAGAAGCTTTCTAGCCTTTTCCATGAATTTTCGAGAGATTTTTCCCATTTTTATCTTTTTGGATATTTGGATGTGTAATTTGTTTTCAATGGGAAGCGCTGTCAGACGCCTGTATTTATTCCCGATCGACAGATGGCGGAAATCGTCGCTGATCGAAATCAAAATCGCGAGAAATCTGTCTCTTTCAGGCAATTTCGCGGAGCACGAAAATTTTTCTTTGTCGATTGCAGATGGCGATCAACTCTTTGATGATTTATTGGACTTTCAAGGAAAATTACAATCAGATGATGTTTTCGGAAGTGATCTTGAAATAAACGAAATCAAGCATTTCCGTGAAAGCATCAATTCTTCGGTCTTGCCGAAGAATCAGCCAATACCACCCTTCGAAAGTTGATTTTTGAGATGATCTTGCGCTTTTCCCAAAATTTTGTTTGTCAGTCATTAGCGGAAGAGCACGTCTGACAGGCTCCGCAGGTACTCTAGCCCAGTTCGTCCAATTCAACCGAACAACTTTGACAGATCCACTTGATCCAGAGGGCACTCAACGCATGTCACTATAAAACAGGCGCGTTCCATCCCTTTTCCCGTAGTCGAGATTTTTTGAAAGACAGAAAAATCGAAGAATGAAATTATCAGTGTTTTTTCTCGCCAGTTTGAGCCTGGCACAAGAGGGTGATCCTGCCGTGACTTTTGATGATGATATGAATGGAATAAGAAATTTACGAAAATTATGAAAAATATTTTATTTAAAATAATAAGACAATATTTTCTAATTCCTAAAAAGTCCAGAGAAAGAGCGAGGAGGCTATCTCGATAATTTTCTCCCTTATGATGCGCTCGGCATCGAAGAAAGAGCGAAATCTCCCTTTGGAAAAGTTCTAAAAGTAGAGACAACTACAACTGCCATTATAACTCAAGCGACTTTGTAGGTAACTGGACAAATGCGGGATTGGCTCCGAGACGTGGCTCCAGATTACAAAAAGAAAGCCAAGCTGGACCGAGCAATTAAACGAGTAGACCTTCGTTACCAAGATGCTTTGGACAACAACGGCTGTCGAAAAGAAGCTTCCCGAGCTGAGGTCAATGAGATCGATGCTGACATCCGGAAGTTGCCCGAAAGCGACGCGGATAAAATCGACAAGTTTTATCGAGTTCTCGTGCGATTGCACAACAGCTATTTGTTGGACTGCAAGAAGTCGAGAAGACTCAAGGTTTGAACCGATATCAAAATCAAGAGAAATAAATGTCAAATCTTTAGGAAGTGTCCACTCGGCTTCATCATCAATTCACCAACCACTTTGCCCGAATCGGTTAGGCTTTGTCTATCCATTCAATCCGTTACTTGTTCTTTCAGTCGAAAACAACCCAGACGTACTCAACAGGATTCTCGGCGAAACTCCCAAAAAGGAAAAGTTCTCTATTCCAAAAACAACAATGACACCTGTTATGACGACAACCACCACCACCACCACAACCACAACGACGACAACAACAACTACTGAAGCGCCAACAACAACAGAAGAGTTGACAACGACTACGATTCTCAACACAACCGCTTGGACTTCCACTTCCACAACAACTGGTAAAAAATGTCCATATCGGTCGATATTCATTTAAAAATTCTAGTTCCTGAGACAACAACGAAGAAGAAGCTGTCAAAGAAAGAACTCAAAAAGTTGAAGAAACAGTCGAAGGGCTGAAACTTAATGCGAGCAAATATGAATTTTTTAATAAATTGAACTTCAACACCCACCGAGGATATGAAACAAAAGCGATAAAGTTCTTCGCGGAAATAATTATTTGAATAAATCTGACCGCGTTTCCTCCAATTTGACGCCCTACCGAGAACTTTGACGCCCCCCATTTATACCCTGTTACTTCGGTTTTATCCCATCCATTCCTCTTTGAAAATGTTCTCGGTTTTGTTTTTATTTTTATTCGCGTTGATTTTTGCTCGGCCGGGGTTGATTACTTCTATGGCCGAATTTGGTGTAGAGATGGAGAAGAACTTGATCGCAATTTACAGAGCTAAACCAGTAATAAATGAAAGTAGTCTCCCAGAAAGATAGGCTTTTTTCTAGGCGGAGAATCCAGAGATATTGAAAATTTTGGCGGATGAAATGCTCTTTACTGAAAGTTTCGTGTACTGTGACGATAACCATGATGGCATGGTAATTATGGAAGAACTGATCAGCTGCGAGGAGCATTTTTTAAAAGGTAAAAGGGGCCATTTTCACAAGAAAAAGAACAGTTCTAGCTTTAAATCGACCGATGGCGATGAAACTCAATCGTATGGAAATTGGCGATACAGATAACGATGGGAAGCTGCAACTGGCCGAGTGGGCATTAGCCGGAGCAATGTGGGATCTTGCATTTGGAAAGACGATGGTATCGACTCTCGGAAAAGGACATCTCGACGATGAGAAACTGAACGAGTTTGCTATTTATAAGATTCTAGGGCTAGTTGGTAAGAGTCTTACCGTAAGACGGTATTTTAGAAGTCACTTTTTTCATGGCATTATTCAGGTCATTTTTTCAACGACACAGATTACTCAACAGCTATGGATATCCTATTTACTGTAAGTTACTGTTGCAAGAAATGTATATGAGTGATGTTTTCAGGCAGACGATGATCATGACAACAAGTACTCAGCAGCGGAAATCGGATGTCTTCAGCAGCACTTTTATAATGACTTTATTCGAAAACAAATGTGGAGCGCCCACTGAAAATAAACGACATTAAAGTTGATTAAACTTGTAACTTTACTTTTATCCCGTCAGTTTTTTCGCCTAGATTTGATAAAGACAAAACTTTCCGTCAATCGACTTCGAAATTTTCCAACAAGGAATCAGAGTTGATTCGAGACTTTCTCATTTTTTCTCCAGAGCCTCAATGAAGCCCCGCAGAAGTCGTAATTTTCTCTAGAATCAAAATGTATTCGCAAACGCGAGGCGGGCCGTCAATCATTTCAGAGAAATCGAGAATAGAGATGGATTCTCAACCAAATGGATTTGAATTTTCACCGCCAGCGACACAAAGTGGATTCGGTCCATCAATAATAGAAGTTCTCAATCATGAGGAGGGGATAAATATGAAGTCCTTGGGCGAAGTTGCGATGAAAGGACGGCTAGGTAAAGGCTGGGTAAGTGAAGAAAACAACTTTTCAAAACTTGCGTACTCTTTGTTGATCTCCCTTTAGAGCGAGGACGAATTCTTGTTATTCGCGGATATCATTACCGACGAGAACGTCTTCTACGAGGAACACGATGGCCCAAACATGGTTGTTGGAATCGTCAAACGATTCCTCGAGGAGCGACCTGATAAAACCGAATTTCAATCAGTCTGGCTCTTCCACTTTGTCAGAGAGCTCACCTGGTACGAAAATTTTGCCTATAACGTGTTTTATTTCATTTATAGTGGCATGGAGAAATACGCGGAGTCACAATCAGAGTACGATTATGTGAACACACAGCATCTTTTTGCACGAGTTTTTGATCTCTGGCGACATGAAAGAAAAGACAACATCCGTATGGAACTCTTCCGGGCGATGTCCACTCTTTTCGACAAATTCTGTAAGCTTATGCTTCAAAAATAAAAACTAACCAGCAAATTTGATTAAATTAAATTTAAGTTACCCAAAACGAGCTGAACCTGCCATCAAAACATGTGGAGTTCATCAAACTAACGATGCTGTTCCAAATGAGCGACGAATACTTGCCAGAAAGATCGATGGCAAAGAAAATTGTCGACATGATTCTTTCTCAAGAGCAACCAGCGCCCGTTCAAATCACTGGCTTCAAATTGCTTATGCTGCTATGTAAGTTACTGTTCGAAAATTTCAGATTTAGATGTTTGATTTAGATGCACATGGAAAGAATAAAAGGAAATCTTCGGGAACTTCAAAGAATTCGCGAATTATATGGAGACTAAACCTAGTCTTGTGGAGCTTTGTCGGAAATTCAAAATGCTCAGCTCTTTTGATCGAATTGGAAAACTCATGATCGGAGACAAAGAGTTTCCAAAAGCGTATCTGTCGTTTCAACGAAAGTTTGCGATGATGATGATCATCATCGAAGGCTCGGATGAGTTCGACTACATTCCCATCTACAAGTATGAGACGAAGAAAACAGCTACTAAAACAACTGAGAAATATGTAAGCTTGAATTTCATCGGTTTCAATTGAACTTTGTTTCAAGTTTATCATCCAATTGGACACCGAAAGCATAGACTTGAGTGACCAACAAGTGACAATTTACTTCAATAGAAACTCCACTTTCCATGGGGTTGATACTGAAGATGTGATCAGAAGAGAAGGGCCGTTTTTCTTCACTGTACAGAAAAAAGGCCGACGTGCACCTTCAACTATCACCTCGACGAATCGAAGTTCCTCTATCCCGACTACAGCTGTCAGTCCAGTTCCTGCCTGTGAAATGAAAGGTATCTATCTGTCCCAATGCCTTTGTTAAAATAGAGATTATAGAGTTGAAATCCGTCGTCGACTTGGAATTGCTCGATCCAGAAGGAGTATCTCAGATGTCTGTCGATCTTAGTCAGCCCTTGAGCCAGCAAAACATCGAGTGTCGATCTCTCGTCCCTTCGTCGTTTTACCGCAGCGAAGTCGTTCCGCTCAATCGCGAAAGTGCTTATAACCTAAAAACACCAACCAACTCGCACAAGATGAAGCCGACTGACTCGCATTCTACACTGGCTCCACTCACCAGAGGTCTCGAGACGCAGTTCAAATTGAAGCAGACGCCGAAGAACGAGAAGAAATCTAAAAAGTATGCTTCATTTCAACTCGGTCTTTTCTTATAACAATTTCAGTCCTAAAGAGGGTGCTTCGTCGGGAGAAGAGGATCTTCCCAACATGACGATTGCCGCTGGAACACCGGGAATCATGATGTCGGCGAAAAAAGTCAAGCAGGAGATGCACCTTCCAATCACTCCAATCGAAGCGGTGCGATCGAAGCCAAAAGTAAAGGTATTTTATTTCTGCCGACTCGATAATATTTCTTCTGATAAGGACCCTCCTCCAAAGCTGACAACTTTCGCAGAGCCTACCATCGACACCGACGAGAGTTCCGACGCAGACGAAACAACTCCAGGTCCTTCCGTCAAAAGTGCGATCATGAACGAAGAAGCGACCTCAAGTCAAAATTCAAAAGGCTCAAGAGAGTTGACTCCGGATATGCCAGTCGAGTTCAACAGTAGCCCAACTGACTTGAACATGGCGCCTCCTCGGAAAAAATCGAAAACAGCCAAGGCTCTTTCGAGCTCGACCCCCCTCATGCAGAAGCAGCGACCAAATGTGTCTGAAACAGTCACCAAGGAGCAGCAGGAGATGATGGGGAAGTTGCGAGAGGTAGGATTGACTTAATTCAATGAAAATAACAAATTATTTTTCTTTAGAAATTCGCAAGCATTTCTCAATTCATGCCGCGCGTGGAGGAAAGCATCAAAGAAATCGAGTCCGTGAAGAACCAAGTCGATGAGAATTGCCGAAAGCACTTTGAGCAAATGAAGAAAGCTCGAAAAGATCTGCGTAAAAATGCGAAACAAGTCATCAAGGACTCCGAGCAGAATGTCGCAGCGGGCGAGCGTAAGAAGGCGATTGCGACGATGGCGAAGCAACTCATGGAGAAAATCATCGTCGAAATGCGCAAATAGGAAAATTATAGCGAGTTTTCTACTGCCCATTTATCACCTGCCTCATTTACTGATAATAAACACATTATTTTTTGAACTACGAGTTTGTACCAAATTGATGTTCGATTATTGAAAAGTTCGTATTTATATTTCATTTCACAATATGTCATTATCAGTGAGTTACGGTAGATATTCAACTAGACGAAGTTCGTCTGACAAGCTGTGTAATTTCTCTGCAATTGAACGTTTGTTTCGAATTTAGACAGTGTCTAACAAAGTTACAGTAACCAGGCTGATGATGAAAATTAGCGACCGAAAGGGTCGAACTGTCAACCCACAAGTACTTTTCACTCAGAACGGGGGCTCAACCGTGCGCTAGGTGCGAATACTTGCACGTCAAATTTGACGTGGCCGTGTTTACGAGAACGTGCAGCTTCTTTTTCTTCTTCCCGCCACCCCCGTCTTACCATAAAGAAGAAATTACTGCAACTGGCTGACAGTATCTTTATTGACTGCACTGGGAAGGAATTTTCTCGTCGAGTTACAGTATCAATGAAAATTACAGTAACAACGTTTCATTTTTTTGGTTGGTTTGTTTGTGAACGAGTTTGGCTACAGAATGAAAAAGGGGGCAAAGAAAATAATTTATAGAACAAGGAGAAGAGCGAAGGGTTGAATCTTTATACTGTGTGTCTTTGGATTTTTGTATTTACTGCATGAATTCAGCGGCGGTGTAGCGATAATCGAATTCTCGCATGGAGGGGAGTTTCTTCAAGCTCTACAAAATCAGAATAAGAATCTAATAAAAGGAATTTGGAATCTTACCAAGCAAACTTCAGCAGTTAACTTTGTCCCCGTAAGAATCAATTTTGATAAGCTAGTAAGAGATGTGAGGTATGACATTCCATCGGGCGACAGGTTTTCGCATTCCGACAGGTACAATTCTGTTATTTGGCTTTTGTACTTTCCACTCGAAAGAACTTTCAGAGTCGAATCGCTTATGCTCTGAAATTTGTGATGAGATTCAGCAATGTCAGCGTTGATTTCTTACCGTTTGCGAAAGATCAATCTTCCTGAGCTTTGGCATTTTAGACAGCGAGTTCGCAATCTCGTCGTTGATTTTCGTCTCAGCAAGGTCAACTTCAAGGACGTCTCCTCCGCGGTTTTTCGCTATTTCGCGTTCTACGTCTTCGTTTGTTGCTCCGCGCTGGAAACTCAAACGGGTCTATAATTGTTGGGTTAGACAAATTGTATGTCGCCGAGGAAATAATTGAGCATTATAAAGTAGAAAAATGATCAAATTTAATCGAAGAATACGAAACTCTTAGACCGTAATTTATATATTACTACACTGATGAAAAACCTTAAATTTCATTTTATTACAAGGCAATAAATGAGAATAACCGTTTTTTATAATATAATTTGGGCAATTTAGAATAAGACATTGTATGGCAACTTACCCTACCACCGGGTTTTCCCGGCGCTGGATACCAAATATTCCGCGAGACGATTTTCTCGTATTCTTTCCGGCCGTAGTCCGAAAGTTTGACTTTGTTGATTGCATTTCGCTGCTCATCTATGTGCAGAATATTGTGCTCAAGGATCCGAAGCATCAGATAGACAGAAGGTCGCACCAGTTCATCCGATCGTTGCGAAAACTCCAACAGATTCGAGAAATAACTAAACAACAGTTAAGAGCAACAGTAGAAAGTAATCGTGAGAAAGGAGGAAAAGCTGCTATTTTAGGGCGTCACTGGCTAAATTTAGACGGAAATTGGCGACTCTTAAACTTCACGCGCAGGAAATTATAAGGTCAGTATTCTTTTGATAAAAAGACATTATTACCTTTTACTAATCGACTTTAGCACAATGACTTCCTTATGAATATCCGTGAATTCTATCTTGCTAAGCACAGCTTTCCATAATTCTAGACGATCTTCGTTTGTGAACATCGTTTGGGGCGAAGATTCTGTCGGTTTTGTCAGCGTTGACATGAAGATTTTCTTTGGAACTGTTGATTCTGTCACGCTTGTAAAAACTTTGAGCAGCCAAGTACTAAAATAAAAAGGTAAATTTTTAGAATAAAAAATGAGCGCACCTGATATCATTTGAAGAAACGGTAAAACTAATTATTTTCAGTAAGAGGCGACGGAGCATCTTTCCAAAAGAACGGCCTGAATGATTATCAATAAAGATCAAAATACTGATTACTTACAGGACTCAGGAGCGGGCGTTAAATATTGAAATTTAATTACAAGTTCGCTAATTTGACACTTCCAGTCCTAGAAAACCAGTAATTTCGAAAACTCAAAGGAGATAATTACATCGTAGTCAGTAGCATAGTACAGTATGTCCATTCCGAGCTTGGCCCAGTGCATTCGTTTAGAAAAGTGGCAGTGAGAAGGGCAGACTAAGCATGTGGTGGTGGTTTGTTCGTTCGAGCTGTTGAAACACTAGAACTCGATTCGAACAAGAGAACATGTAGGGTTGGATTTACCTGGCTGATGGCAACCCGAGCGATAATGAAGAGATTGTTCGGTGTCATTAAATGAGGACAAGCGGTTCCTCCATGTACAGAGGAGATGAATTCGCGAATGTTCATCGAGTGGTTCATCTTTACAGGAGATTCTGAACCAGACGGTTTCGCGGGCGAGGGAGTTTTGATCGTCAAATCTTGCTTTGAAACAAGACTCGACTTTCCCGCAGTAACCAAATTGAGGTAAACAAGACAGAGGCGGATCACAGCTGCTCGAATTTGATCGCTTTTCTGGGTGAGTTCTTCATCCCATTTGGCACCGATTTGGTGCAAGTTGTAATGATGCAAGCCTTTGTACACAGCGTTGAGGATGACGCGCTCGCTGCCGCGCGTTTTTGACGTCGAGGCGCAGTGCAACTCGAGCAGGTGACAGAGCTCCGGCGACATGTGATAAGCGAGTACGTCTTCCAGACTTTTGATGAGGGACGAGGACGAGCAGAGCTTTTGGATTACTTCAGCCGACGCGCGCCGTAAGACTTTGCTGAGGATTTCTTGAATGCTGTCGTTCGCTAAAAAGGGCTTAAAAGTCTTTTCGGGTGAATATTGAATACCTGAGACTGGGCGAATATTGTAATTTTTGTGGGAGTTAATAATGCGTTTGAGGTAGATTTCAAAGTTGTCGGGACTGCACTCGGGATCCATCATGAGGCGAAAGGTGCGACGCAAGTGGCAGCGCCATCGTATCGTATTCTTGCAGTGGTCCCTTTCGGGGGTATGCGAGAACATGAAAATATAGCTTTTGAACTCGTAGTGTTGTCGATACGATCTGCAGACTCCCTCATCCGTCTGAAATTATGTCATGAACTTTTGCGAGAATGTTCAATGTTGGTTCTGTTTTTAATTATAAATCTCATGATCATTACTGTACAATTCTACATTGACCATCAGGTGCAGGAACTCAATTGTCCTCTGAGAAAAGCGCCCCTTGAACGAACAAAAAACTCGCCAAGAAAAGGGCTGCCCCGCCGCGATTTGAATTAGCGATTGACGTCACAATTCTGAGGGAGCGCAGCAGGACACTGTTGGGAGCAAGGAAGCGATAGAGATGAAGAGTCGCTAGGCGATTAGCACTCTTTTGCTGAGCGATTTAAGCTATCATTTTCACACCTTTGTATGATAGAGCTGTGGTGAGCACGGAGAAGGTTCTTGCAAGTACAGCTGGAGGACTGGACGCTCGCAAATGGCTGTCGAACCGATTCTAGAGCAACGGTTGAATATATAGTCTTTCTCGTTGTCATACCTGATAGCAATGATGTCATTGTAATCGATGCAGCCCTTCAGCTTGCCCTGCACTTGACCATTCGCGGTCGGCGAGATGCATGTCGAGCTGAGAATCAATCGCTGGTTTCTAGAGTCATTGACTCGTCGATACTCGGCTTCAGCAAGAAGAGGGATTCCATCCTCACCCTGCGCAAGTGAGTTTTCGGTGACTACTTCTCGGCTCGTGGCTACCTCCGGCCAGGCCTGAAATGATGATTTAGGTTCTCTTCCTTGATTTCAATTATGTTTTTTTTTTACCTCTGGTAAAGGATCCCGGTCGTTGGAAAATGAAACTCCAGATCGGCTATTTCGGATTTCATTCAGGTCGTCGCTGAAACAGAATTTGATCCGAATAGAGTTGATTATGTAATTGAAGAAAAATGCGTCAGGCAGATACGATAATTTGTCAAGAATATGCATACAGCGTAGTGCGTTAGAATAATTGACGCTGAGGATAATGGATTGATCAATATAATCTAAGCCCAAATAACGTAAGTGGTAAAGTCGCCTTGTGAGAATTGGGCGGCATAAAGTGGCGCAAGTAAAGCCGGTCATCAGCGCTATAAAATTAACACACGACTGGAATGTTGCGACGGCAGTTTACGACACTCTTTCGCACCTTGCGTATAAGTTTAGTCTTTTTAAACTTTCTCCTTCTCATCGACGGAACATCGTTCTTTTTCTGGTTGAAATTCGAAAGAAAAGATGGTGCATAAATCTACATGTCATGAAGCGTAAAAGTAATTTATGATATCGACTCGTAAAATTACATTCTAAACGAGCAGGAGATTCATTACGTGACCAGCACTTAAATCAAAGTTATATTACTATTCTTAATTTCATTTTCGATCCCAAGTTTCTTAGACTTAGTTCCAATGTTAAGGTCAAATCTGAGCGGTCAGATCAACTGACATTTGAAAGAAAACTATCTAAAGAAAACATTATTCTGATGATTGCCTTTGAATAAAGCTACAGATTTATGACAGTATATCTTTTTTCGAAAGAAAATCTACGGGTGGTCCCGTAGCCAGTGTTTTTGACTCTTATTACTTTTTCGAAAAGACCACAAAAATCTTTATACAGATCATTCTGTTAAGAGAAATTATCAAAAAAATATTGGGCAGGTTTCTACAGAAGGCGCTTTTGATTTACCATTTAGCAGACAGTTGGCGACATTTTTATGAGTATTGGCGTGGAAATCGGGCCCGTTTACAGCCTCGGTAAATTTTATTTTAAAGTGTTTTAATTAACTAATGCACTCTCGCCCCAGCGTATGACGTTTCGCGAAAATATTGTTTCGATGGTCGATTGCGTGGCCATATTTAGTAAGCAGCATTCCAGAGTTATTTATGAGACATTTCAAATGCCTGTTTATTGTTACCTGTTTTCAGAGCCATTTAGCGAGTGAGCTCTTCTGCGCGTTGTCGTCACTTGGGTCTTTTTAGTTTTGATTTCGGACTCCGAGTTCGAAAATTGCGACTTGAGGGTTGCCCAGTGCGGATCACGACTTCTACTCGGTCGACTGAAGAAATTTTCTGATAAATTTTGAATTCTCTCTTCGAAATACCTTTGATCCAGTCCGTAAGCTTCTGATGTATGTAACATCGGCCCATAGCCCGTCAAACCTCGCAATACCTTAAATACTAATGAGTTATTAAGCACCTGTTAAATATTTTATAGAAGGTCATCGCTAGCTTAGCGTCAAGAGAAGATAGTAGCTGCAACACTTTTGGAAAGAAAAAAATGAAACGATGGGCGAAGAAGAGGACGATAAAAATACCAGTTTTGATGACAAAAATACAACTTCCGCCTATTAATTACTCGATATTATCAAAAAGGGCTGCGTTTCTCACCTATCAGAATCGTCAACGACGCTCGTACATAATATTTACGCGATGAAGAATAACCCAGAAAAATGGTAGATAGGAGAAAAGTCTATCTATTCCAGTGTAACATTGAAAATTGTCAAGAGAGACAAGTTATCTAAGATAATTGATCTTACATAACCCTAACGCAAAAAAGCTAAATCCAAAGTCTACTTTAGGCTTGCTTTGATTAAAGTGACAAGTAATTACAGTCCGCTGCTTTTGGGTAATCTGCATGTCAGACTTTGCTTTAGATTTCCCCTCGGACCGGCCCGGTCAATCAGCAGTTCAATCACTTGCAAAATTACTATTTTTAGCTTGCACTTTTCATCTATTTCAAATCAAGGATCAACAAGAAAGGATGATTACCTACTAATCTTAAGTTTTCTAAAGATTTTTGAAATGCGGTGACCAGACAAGACTGAATTCGGTGAAATTATGCACCTTACGGGCATATCAAAATTTGAACTTTTTAACAGTTCATTCTGATCTGACAAACTGCTGCCTGACAATACAGTGTTTCTCACAATGCATTCTTCAGACTCATTAAAAAAAAAACGTTTCCGGAAATTCCGGACTCGCTTGGTCAGATATTCGCCAAGTTTCAAAGGTGATTTTCTGCGCTGTTAATTCAGCTAAGTTTAATCGTTTACTTTCGTTTAAGTTTCTTCCCACTGTCTGTTAGTCTACACTCAATTTGTAGGATTGTTAATCTGGGCAATTTTTGCATTCTTGACGGTCAGTCTCCCTTTTTAGTTCAGCCTCGATAATTTAGACAGTTGCGTTTTTTCAGACAATTTTTACCGGTTGATTTCGTAAGAAAATCTGGGTCGGCCTAGTTTTTTTGTTTCAGTAAATACTTGTACTGATGTTGCTATGCATGCAGTAGCTATGCTAGTGATAAGATTGCCCACAGGGACTTCCACGTGTAGTACCGAGTGTCACGTGGATTAAAATGGGCGTTTTCTGTATAATCTTCGGCCAAAAAACTCTGACAAAGTTGTTTTAGGATTATAAACAATTTTTCAACTCTATTTTTTAAATTTCATCTCCAAGAAAAATGACCAAATCGCATAAAATCTCATAAAAATGATTAAGGGCGTCCCTCGAGAAACATTTTCTTGAGAGACAAACATTAATAGACTAACTTTATGTGCACTAATTAGGGCATTTATGACACCTGTTCAAATTTTCCTTTCACATTGAATCAACCAGGTCTGTTTTTCACGTGTTTTCGTTTTTTGATTTTCTAAAATTCTTCACCTTTTTTTTAATTTTGTTTTCTTAAATCTCGTCTCTGGAAATTCCCAAATCTCTTGGCAAAAATCGCTTCAGACAAAAATCTCTTTACTGGGGTCTATATCCTTAATTGAAACGTTACGAGCTCTGATGGTGATAAGGGATGAGAAGAGATGACCTGAGTCAGCAGTTATGCCCTAAGGATAAATTCAGAGCGACCGTAAGTGACGTCAATTATGAACATTTTTTCGTAAAGCACTCCAGAATTACCCTTTCATCTCAGAAGTACAAAAGAAGTTTAAACAAAAACGGTGCTCATTTTTAATGGAGCCAACTCTGGTACGCAATTCTAATACCCAACCGAGCTACTTTAAAATTTATATAAAAGAATAAAATATAAGTGAACTCATTAATATACAATTATTTTCATTTTTATTCGAATAATTAATTCATAAATTAATCGTTTTTTTTTATAAATTTTTCTTTAAAAAATCATAAATTATTTTCACACGAAAAATTTTAAAAAAGTCATTTTCTCAAATCAAAAATTAATCAATTAAAATCAAAATTAATTCACAAAAAAATCAGATTTGAAATCATGAAAGAGTACCCAATCTTCCCAAAGTTTATCATATTATTGTTTCTCAGCGATTCTGACAATTGACGCAAATCAAACATCTGAGCGCGCCCGTAAAAATTACTAACTCTATTATTTTTTTTCTTGAAATTAGCATTTACGCTTTATTGAAAACTTTTCTTACCTGAGGAATTTCCGCCTTTCCAAGAAGATTCTTTTCCGAGTTTGAAATTTTCTGATTTGAAATTTTCAGTCTTGAATTTTTTCTCTCTGAGTTTTGGCTTGTTCTTCTTTTTCTTTCCTCTTGGGTAAATTTGTCGAATTAGTGAAGGATTTCGATGTTTTCAAAAAGTTTTTGCAAAAAGTAATGGTTTTATCATCCACTCAGCGATTTGAATTTCTGATTGTTGCTTGGGCGAGTTTGCTCAGCTCAGCGCGCCACAGCAGCTTTTTTTCTTCGTTTTTTCTTCTCTTTTCAGAATCGTGTGGGAGTGCCACCTGGTGGCGCCTAGCGCCCGCGCCGCTCAAATCTCACGATTCTGAAAGCGATCAACCTTACTGGCCAGACTTCTTTCAAGCTAGAATTTAATCTTGCATTCTTTGTGCGGCTTTGGTGAACTCGAGAACTTTGTAGGAGGAATTTATTTCTGATGAAAATCGATAACGAAAAAGGGGATTAAAAGGATCATCTCTATTTGGTAATGAAGCCGCGCGCAAAAAAATGACGTCAAATTTTAATACCGAATTTGAAACAAGGGATGAGCGCGGCGAAATCTGCAACACTGATGCCTTTCTTCAAGAGACCAAGAATCTAGTTTTTTTTGCAGCAAAAGATTCCAGTTTTTCTAATTTCGCTGATGACAGTTGTTTTCGGAGAAGTAATGACGCAAATTTCGAACTTGTTTAATTGCTGAACGTTTGCGCAGGAAGGCGATTGTGGTTTCAATCTGACTGCAGTTCAATTATTCAAGGGTCGACAAATGTCTTTCGGGTGCCGCTGACGTCAATTTTTCCCCCTTCGACAATGAAAAAAAAAGAAGTCTTCTTCTGGAGAAGGTCTTGAAAGTCGGACTCTAAGGAGAATAAGATACAGGGAGAATTTTACAGTAATATCGGTAGACCCGAGCGGGATAGTCAGATTTCATGACTGTAAAAACGTCAAGTTCCGCGTCAGAGCCGTTTGAGTACAGTAGGACAGCGAAATTTACGTTCATTCTGTCAAGTGTCACTGTCCAAGACAAGATTTTCGTCGATAGTCCGATCTCGCTGCTGTCAGCATTTAAATGAATAATCTGACGCGAATTAATTTTTAATTTTCTTAAATCACTCGGCAACTATTCACGTCAGCACTTGGATTATGATTGTTACAGTAGTTCCATCGGAATAGCAGGTAACGGAGGTTTTTCCTGAAGCTCCTCTTGAGTCTTGACAGGTTGTTCTTTGACGTAGATACAGAAATGAGGATGCCAGAGCTCGTAATAATCACCTGGAACTGTATCAAGACGTCGGTTCTTTGACACGGGTGACTTTCTTCATGAAGGGGTTGACGCAAGCAGTTTCATTGAAGCGTTCATCAGCAGTAGACGTTTCTCATCAAAAATGATGACTTTTTGGTAGACGTTTCTAATGAAAAAGCAGTGTATTATACAGTTTAATATACAGTGCATATAATTTATTCAGTCCAAAGAAGTTAAACTTGATGAACTCGAGGGATAAATTATTTAATCTAAATCTTCAAAAATAACCTTTTTTGGGTTCGCATCGTTAATTTATTCTTTTGCACAGAAGTGCTTGAATATTCAAGTGAACCTCTCGAAGAAGATAGTTTTGTGTACAGAAGAAAGTACACTGTACGTCATTATCAAGTGCAAATTTTGGGAAGAATCTTCAAAAAAACAGTGGGAAGCAAACAATCCCACGTCCAAGAATGCCAAGAGTTTGGACAGACCAAATCCGATAAGCCGCAACAGACAAATACAGAGAATTATACTATGTAGAGTCAGAACAAAATATTTGAAGATATGAAGAGATGAAAGATTTTCATGGATCAAGCAAGGTGCTCGAATGCACGTGATGCTCTCAAGAGAAACCATTTATTGACAGTTATTTTTTATGTATTCAGGATTGATCAGAAAATATTACATAAATCGCGGCTATGAGAAGAAGAATTTGACACATGTTTACTCTGAAGGCGGCGATAGGAATCCTGATGTCCTAGCCGAGGAGTTCGTCTTTTCGTCGTCAGAATTGTCACTTCCATCGTTTGCCCAGGAAGCGTCATTATCGACTGCTTAGGAGATGAATTTTGCCTCAGATTATTATCGGTTACCTGAAAGACCTTCTGCAGTAGGATAAGCTGGTGTTTTCCTGGCTTGGCCTTTCTTCGCAAAATCTTTCTTGAATTTCGCTTAAAATTTTATTAGATCAAAAAAATTTTCAATTTCCTTGACTCACGTGATTTCTTATAGAAATCTTTCTGCACTTGCTGTTCGTAAGTTTGGTCATCAACGCTTCTTTCATTGACGGTCAATTGCGGAGTCCCAGGAGCTGCTTGATGGTTTTTAGCCGAAGCTGGTGGTTGCTCCATTTCCTGAATTTTTGATGCTTTTTGATACCTTGGTATATTTGATATAGATACTGGTATCTCTTTATCGGCAATTATTACCGGTTCGATGAGTTTGCGTAAAACAGAAGGGTTTCGAGCGTCAATACGAATAATTAAAAGATCTTTATAGAAAAAAATAAGATATTCGAGGAATAATTTATACAGCGTCTTGCATAATGATAATGGGTCGATAAAGAGGTGCTATTTGCGTCAAACTTAGACATATTTATACGGTAAATTTTTCACACACAAATGTTTTAGTGATTTATTATTTTATCAAGCACCTGAGCGATCTATAAATCATGTTATCCGTAATTACCTCATTATTCGCTTTTGATTTCTTTTTCTTGCTCGAACTGCCTCCCATCTTTCTTTTCTTTTCTTTCTATTCTCTTTGATTATTTCCCTGGCAAGAGTAGAGTCCCTCTCTTTCGGATGAATTAAATTTCACGATAGACAAGATATTCGTTGCAAATTTCGAAGCCCTTTAACCAGCGGAATGGCTGAGCAAATAATGCTCTGAATTAGCAGGCAAATACTTGTGCTCTCGCCTTTCTTTTAACTGCATCTCAAATCCGCTGTTATTTGCAATGTCATTCGAATGTCCAATCACTAGAGGAAAATCCTGTGAGTTGGACAACTGTCTGATTCTCAAAAAATACGGTCATGGGTGCTTGTCATATTTACCGAGCGATTTTGACTTTCAAAGATGTTGGAAAAGCTGTAAGTTCTTGGCTTGTAGGAGAACTGTCTATTTGCAAGATTGATGATGCTGACCATTGAAATTTTCCATTGGTTTTTATAGAGGAAGGGCCGAAAGTTCAGATCGACAAAATATTGTGACCTTTTCCTTGAAATATTTACAACTTTAAATTTTTGTCCCTGAAATCAAGGAAGAATGGTTCTTTATAGAAAATGTATTCAGTTTTCAGTTGTAGAAAAAATCATTCAGTGACAAGTTAATTGCGTCTAAAACTCATGATATCTGAGATTGATTAAAACATCAAGCGTCTTCTCGGCGTTCCCGCGGCAGGAGAATAGAGCGGAAGAGATGTCTCGCCTTTCAAAGCCCATCTAAACAAGTCTTCTTGTTTGTTCCTTTTAAAACTGCTTCTTACCGCTATAAATTGGTCTATCAGTTCTTTTTCGTCCCGCGAGTTTTGTTCCGTTAGCAGTGGATGCTCAGGCGATGGGGAGCGACTTGCAATTGGTTCAGAATACTGTAACTTGTACTTTAGTTCTGTAATTTCTTAGAACCAATGCCTGAGTCGTCTGACACGAGTGTGCTTTGATTCCCTTGAAAGCGCTTCAGGAGCTGATCCGATTGTCATTCGCTTTCGATCGGGAGAAACGATCGTTTCAGATTGCTTTCTTGGTTGGTGATAAGAAGGGCTTGGCTCAGATCGTCTTTCAGAAAGTCGTTGAGAGGGAGGCGGAACGAGAGAGTCCAACGGTAGGCTTGGTCTAGTGTCTCTTCCTGGTGGTGGTCTTGGTTCGCGGACTTCATCCTCTTCCAGAAGCGACAGGATCAATTCACGAGTAGCACTATCCATGTCAGGGTCTAGAACGAAGGGAAGGCTACTGTTACTTGGTGTTGCTGAAGCATCAGTGCTTCTGTTTGGCGACTGAGCACTATCATTTGCGATAGAAGAAGCGTCCGTTTGCTAGGAATCAATAAATCAGTCCTTATCTACCAAAGTGGTCAATTTACCTTGGTATCAGAGAAAACTTCCTCCTCCTTGTCATCATCTTCTGGTGGCTCGAGAATCGTCATTCCAGCTTCTTGAAACGGCTCGAACTCGTTACTAACAGACTTTGATTTCGGAGCGTCAACAGTTTCATTCGCAGTTGCAGGTGGTTGAGGAGCTTTTCTCTTTTTCGGGGTAATTAGCGTAGACTTTTTGCGTGTCAAAATATATGGGAGATGGGACAATTGTCCGCACACAAGCCATAGGCAGCGCTACCACACCGCGCTACTACACCTCAATAAGTAGCGCTCGAGAGTGAGCCGCGCCAAATTGAAACTCTCTTTGCTCCCAAGAAAGCTTCGATCAAGAATTCATATTCATGATTATTATCATTATTTATTATTTAACTTTAGTTAATAGTACTGGCTAAAATAAAGGTAAGGGTTAAATGACAGAACAAACTCACCCGAGAGAGATAGAAATCTGTCCTCTATCTGCTGACATAAAGACTTTTGCTGATAAGAACTTATCCTAGCTAAAAGTACTTTCTATTTTTGAGGTTAGGGTTAGGGGGCACTGGGCAAAATGACAGAACAAACTCACCCGAGGGGGATAGGCTAGGGTTAGTTAGGGTTACCGCAGGTAACCCTAAGTAACCCTAGACTAGACCCCGGCATCTTAGGACCTAAGGGGCGAAGCCCCGTGGTGAGGGGCACTTAGGTTCTGATATTGTATTTTTGATAAAATCTGTTCAAGAGAATTAAAATCTGTCCAATTCTGGCAGAACGAAAGAAGGCGCGAGAAAAGGAATGTAACGGGCAGCTTCCATTCCTTATCATTTTGTTTAGGGGATAAATAATAATTATTTGTTTAAATTATATTTTAATTATATTGTTTAAATATATTCAAAACAACGAGAAGTGTTCTTTGAATCAAAGACTTTGATCCCTGCTGATGATTTTGATATCAGCGCGCGCTCCGTTGCGCCCCCATCTCTTGGCTAGTAGCGCGGTGTAGTGCAGCGCCTCATGGCTTGTGTGCGGACAATTGTCCCTCCATCCAAAATATATAAGACATGATAGCAGGTATGAAGGGTTTCTTATATATTTTGATACATTCCATAAGAGCAGGATTCATGTCTAGCAAATGTCCTCTGTCCAGACTATGCTCAAAGTCCGAAGGGAGGTCTTCAATACAGTCTTTACTCTGAGCACTTCGCGTCAAGGTCAAATCTGCCGTCTCCGAGACCAGATCCGACATATCCAACACTGAGTTTGTCCGCTCTGTGTCTTCAATAACAAAGTTACGCATCTTAATTGAGTTCAAATTGGCACCCAATTTAACGCAGCATACCTTGACGGGTTGGCGGATTTTCTTATCTAAAGAGGCATGAACCGTCACTCCTGTGAATTCGAAGGGATTTGAATTGGGAATTGTGTCAAAGACTGCCCGACCGTCTACGGTAAGAGTGAAGTGGTATCCTTTTCAAAGTTCATTTTGGAGTTTACTAAATATACATTACTGAATGAATTATGTTTTTCTATATAATCGGAATCAAGAATGACTACTCCGAAATTTTGAACATTGCCCAAGTCTGTCATAAACTGCGAAAATTCGATTTTGAACCATTCGCCAGGAAACACAGAAAACGTATCAGTGACAATCTCCGGATTGGCCTTGTCTCTGCTAACGAGATCGCAAATGTCAAATCAAAAGACTTTCGAAAGAGCGCTTTTGTGACCTCAAGAAAATCCTGAAGCAGCTAAAAGCAATTAACCCATCTTCGTCAGCCAAGCATTCTACGTCGAAAATATAGGGGCCATTGTTTGGCCTGATGTGAAGAATATTGAACTTCTTGAAAGGAGCTTCATCAAATAGAAGTTCGAACGATATAGTCACTTCTTTGGGAAATATCTCTATAGGTTTCTCATTCAACTGTGTCCTCCCCGTCACTGGAAACTCATAGTCTCTTGAAAAAATCATCGCTAAAGGTTAAAAAAGCGAAAGGGACTGTCAATGCCGTTTGAAAAATCGCCTCGCGTCGTAAAAAGACACCGTCCTCCGAACCACTTCTTGATCATAAACTGATTATGAGCATCATTGATACTGCAAAAACAAATCTTGTTTTTTTTTATTCCTTTATGGGTTTTTGGAATAACAAATGGTTTATTTTACATGGATTGTGTTTATTGCTTGCGTGAAGAATGTTATTTTTTGTGCTGCTGATGGTAAATTGTTCTAATTAGAGTTGGTCGTATAGCTCGTCTTCTTCTGTGAGACGCATTACGACGAGGAGGATGTAGAAATTGGCGGTCATTGTCAAGAATAAAAAGTACATCATGATAAGCACACAGTACATTCCAGAGGAACTTAGAAGGGTTTTTGATGCGCTTTTTTGAAACTCAACTCTACCAGCTCCGCCTTGCAGAAAAATTAAGACGCCTTCAACAGGCATTATTCTTGCAGTAACCATCAAACCCTGCCTGTACAACCTATCATACAGGTGCATAACCGTTTCGCGGTTTTCTCGACGATTTTCTCAGCTCCAGCCCTTCCTCCTCGGCGAAAAATTTCTAACGCAACTTTGCCCGCGGTCACGCCATTCACAAGTTCTATTTTTGTTAATAGAAATCTTCAAATCTTCGTTTTTTATGTCTCTGAAAGGAAAATGCAGAGATTGTTGAAGTTGATCTGAGCCGGAATCTTGGAGAGCGAAAAAGAAAACAATGAAAAATGGGGACGGTGAATTTATGTAAGTTGTGACTCAGCTCACGCTCCACGGAGTTACCTCGCAAAAGTCAAAATATCAATCACGTTCAACTAGCTCAGTGCAAAGCCTTTCAATGCCATTTAGAAAACACGCTCTAGAATTCTTTTAGGAATCATTTAGAAGCATTCTAACGTTTTAAATTCAGACACAATCCGTCAATTTTTCTTCGGAATCGTTATTACCGCCATTGCCATGACTTTGTTCACTTACAACTGGCTGGAGAAATATTTTGAACAAAAAAACCGACTCAATGAAGCAACGATCGAAGAGCTTGAATTTATCGGGCACATTCCCCAGCCAGAATACGCGATTCCAAAGCTTCCAGACCTCTCACCAATCGAAACAAACAAAGGGCCAGATCATGTTCTCTACCCCGATCAGCCTTCGGCAGAAGAACAGCTCAAGGAACTCGAAGAGCTTTCAAACCAGCAAAATTCACAGCCAGTGAATGATCTTTCGTGGGATGAAATCAAAGCGAAAGCCGATCAAAAACGAGGAGAATTGTCGTTCGAAAATGAAGAAGAAGCTCTCCCTGCATCGTGGGAAATGGAACAAAATCCAGAAGAAGCGGTAGTCCCAAAGCCCAAGTCACCGCAAGACTTGAGCTTTGAGAAACAAAAGGATACAGACCTCAGTTTTGATATCATCAACGAAGTTATTTCTAAGCCACAAAACTTCGATCCACTAAACTCTGAACGACTCGTTCACATCGACCTGAAAGGTGCTCCAATGAAACCATCCTATTTGGAGGAGCTTTTCGCAAAGATCGCGGAATGGGGCGCAACTGGACTCATCATCGAATACGAAGATTCTTTCCCGTTTTCTGGCGATTTCGAAAAGATCAAGAGCAAGCAGTTTTCCTATTCTGTTGATGACATAAAGCGCATCAACACGGCAGCAAGCAACAACAACTTGACAGTTATCCCATACATCTCTCTCTTCGATGATCTGGACTTTTTACTCAAAGACCAGAGTTTCAAAAAGTACAGAGAAATGAGCCATTTCTCAGAAATGATCTCTCCTTTGCATGAAGGCTCGGAAATCATCGCAGCGCAGTTGGCTGAGCAAGTAGCCGAGCTGCATCCGAATTCAAAGTTTATTCATATTGGAGCCAGAGAGCCGGAAATGCTTGGTTGGTCACTTTTAGCGAAACAGTGGATGCATAGGAAAAGGGTTCAATACACTCCAAAGTCTTCGACGGACACAAAAATCTTTCAACCCTGAAAAAGACATGAAAAAAGTCCACAAGAATTATACCTTGACTACGTCGCTCGACTCGTTGATCAAGTAAAGTCGCGGACCCACAAGAATGTCATAATTTGGGGCAACATTCTGATGACCGTCCCACAAGAAGCTCTGGCTCTTTCCGGCGTTCACAAAAATGTTTATATAATGATGGAGTCATACAAGGACAAGAATCTTGATTTCGACGACCTGGCATTACCTGATTTCGGGAGACTCTTCCCCGGCGTTTTTCTTGCTGGATCGTTCAAGGGAACAGCCCATTCTAGGAACGGTTCGAAAATGTTACTAATAATTTAGCTGAAGAATAATATGAACCATTGAAAGTCGGTCAATTCCTAATATCATGGAACACGTGAAAAACATCAACGAAATCCTCAATCTCGCCAAAACAGTTTCTCAAAAACGCGTTCCAGTAAAAGGGACAGTAATTATGGGAAACTCTCGAAGTCATCATTCGAGTAGTCTCTCAGAACTGCTTCCAGTTTGTATCCCCAGCATGATTTCTTGTCTCATCGGAATGAAAGGTAATCTTAACCAAAAGGGTATCAGATATTTATTTTTCAGCTGGAGAAATATCGACCCTGACAACCTACAACGCTGCCAAAGCCATCGGTCTCCGAGGAGGCGCCTTACCAGACATGTCCTGGCCCAGACCGCTCCCTCCCGTCGGCGGTGAATTTCCAGGAAGCAAAGCTTGGCTCGCAGTTCAAAATTTAGAAAATCAGCTTTATGATGCCCGGCGAGTACTTGAGGGCAAAAACGTAAGGCGAATCTCACTTTGAAATATTTACCAACCTTTTTTTTTAGATAAAACTTTATTTAACCGAATACCACACGAAAGAAACGATAGCAGATGTTATGCCTATCAAAGATATAAAACTTGCAGTAACTGTACAACTCACGCAGATTGAAAAGCATAAAAAAGCGATAGAAGAAAATCTTCAAGGTAAAATCAAATCAAAACCCTCCACCTAGCTGTTTATAGACATCTATTATTACGACACGATAGCAGAATTTTTAGAAGAACATTTAGAACCAGTCAAGAGGGAGCTCTCCTCGCTCAATTCTCAAGTTCAAGATATTTTAAATACGGACCAAAGATAACTGTAAATCATTTTTTTTTATTTACTGCCAAACGAAATCCTATATTCACCACTGTAACAGTCTCATACCAATACAGATGTAATATAAAGTCAAAAAATTGGTCTATTTTCTCTAGAGCAATTTCAATAACGATCATTTATTTTAATCCAATGTCATCATTTCATCGAGAGAAAGGTTTAAAAATGACAGAAAACGAAGGGCAAGAAAATACGGATGAGTACAAAATGAACAAAAGACAAGAGCAGATGATGTACTGGCTTCGCTACAGCTTCAAATACAAGAGAGCGTCTGTCAGAGGTACTGCATTTCAATTAATTGTTTCTCAAGTTTTTCGAAGCTAATACCGGGAAGAAAATTGAAAATCTAGATGGCCAGGTCGAGTACTTTAGTGGCAAGCAAATTATAGATGCAATTATGGAAAGCGAAATTTGGGGACGTCCAAATGGATTTCAATCGCGAGAAAACTGCATAGCCGTTATTAGTTTTATCATGTCGCTTGGGACTTTTCTCCGCGTCCATAAAGAGTACAAGATTACTAAAGAAAATATATCGAAAAAGCAGTTATCGAAGAAAAAATATAGACTCTTATTGAATGTCGAAGAGCAACCACCCTTTGAAGGTAAAATTTTAACGATTCATGAAGCATGCTGTATGTAAGACAAATTTTAGATTCGGCCGAGGAGTTTTACATGTGGAACTATCACCCGCCAAGTCGATACGATTTATTGTATGCCATACTTGCCATTTTTGGTTCTTTGACTTTTGTTATGTACCCAATCTGGCCAGAGAAGACTAGACAAGGATCGGACTCAAAATCAAATCCCAGACTCTAAGGAAAAGAGTGGTATTCAAAGACGTTTTCGAGCCAAAAATAGTTGGTTACTATCTTGGCCTTGGTGGAACAGGCTTTCTTGGACTTTGCCTCGGCCTCTGCCTTTTGCGAAGCCTAATTTACTGGGCAATTTGGCTTCTTTCTCTGGGCCGCCATCATCTTTATATTCTTCCGAATCTGACCGAAGACGTTGGTTTCCTCGACTCTTTTATGCCTCTTTACAGCTACAAGCGCTACGGTAAATTTTTATCTTTTCAAGTAACTTTTCTGATCGGTTCATTTAGAATCAAAGCGAAAGAAAGAAAACCCTGTCGCTCCTGGAAAGAAAAATATCTGAAGAAACAATTTTTTCGTAATAAACAGATCTTTTAAAAACGTATGTATTTGTCCATATCTTGGGAGAATCTTCTGGTACAGGATCATGTGATCTGTCAAACATGTCTTTATCCAAACATGTACCATTCCTTTAAAAATCCTTAGAGCAAACAGTTTCAATTTATTCTACTGCCGGAACTGCATCTGAAGAAATTTAATTCTCCTATTTAAATATCCTCGACAAATATTCAATTTCAATACAATTGAAATAAATCGTGCCTAAGATTTGAACAAGAGTGAGAATTTTTGTTTCCCTTTGAAAGAATGGTTGAGAAGGACACTGAAAAGCTCAAAGGCGATATAAAAGGTAATGCGAAAGAGTTTTGGAGTGAAATGGAAATTTCTTGGTTAGAGTTGAACATGAAGATTTCGCCAAATAGGGTTCAAATTGAGTCGATTTAAAAAAAACAAATCAGACTTCACCAAGCACGAAATTTTGAAAAAATCGAGATTTCCGGCAAAGCTTCTTTCCTTTATGGCGCAATTCATGCTTTTACGCAAAAGACGACTTGCCCCAATTCCGATTTTCTTTATATTTTTTCACTAATTTTTTATGCTATTTTTTTCATGAGCACTTTTCTTTCTTTCAATCACGCTTGAACCCTCATATTTGGAACTAAATACAACCCTTCTGGAACGTCTGCAAAATTTAAATGCAAAATCGAAAGCAAGAACAGCAAGCAGAGGTAAGAGCTCGCTGCTCGATAAAAGTAAAATTTTGACTATTATTTGAGGATCTACAGGTGGCCGGAGAAGAGATGCAGTAACTCAAACAGATGCTCAGTCGATTATTTGCTCAGGAAGGGGTTTTTTCTAATTACAGGATTCAGTAATAACGCATGAAAAGCCCATCTTAAAGCTTGCTACTCGCTGAATGTTGAAAATGCTAAAAAGACCAAAGGTGGATTCGGAAATTTTTACCTCGAGACACGGCTCTTGAATCAGTTGTTACCCAAATGGTTTAATTGTGTTATTGAACAGCTTATTCACCAAAGAGTCTGATGAAAAATCTTGAGATGGAGACGACTGACGTCTGAGAAAGCACTTCAGAATCCAATAAAAAGATACCTTCGTATTTGATATCTAGCTAATTATTTCTTCAATAAATTAAAATTATTTTGAGACCGCGAAATTTCATGGAAATGGAATTTATTAAAAATTAGTCTCGATGACGCCAGATGAACTTTTTCGCAGAACAGGTTTAATTTGAAGAATTTATAGGTTTCGATTTTTGTATTTTTTATGTTTTCGGATTCGCGCTACGCATGCTAATAGATAAGTTCTGAAAAAAATGCGCTTTCAGTTGTATCTATCGCCAGATTTTTGAGGGACTTATTGCACAGTTTCCACTAAAGAGAAATTAAAACCCGTCAAAAGCTAATCCCCCAAAAGATAGCTCCTATATGCATATACTGTATATTATATACTGTATATGATATACAGTATATGATCAGTTATGTATGTTCGATCGTCTTCGGAGATTGGCTTTTGGCTGGAGAAAACACGGTAAAATGAATAATTTAACTATACAGTCTTTATGTGAAGTGCTAAATGGCAAGAGTAGGAGGAGGTCACGTGTCCGCCTCTCAACAGTACTTATTGCAGAAGTCTCGTTGAGAAGGACGGTAGCTCTGAAATAAATTAATAGGTAGTCGATAGTGCTTTGTGAAGTGGGAAATGCTCTTCTGAAATGTGAATAAATTGAAAATAGGTAAACCAGGATTGAAGAAAAACCAGACGGGAGAGCAGGGTCCGATAATTTGAGCTCACGATAAAACTCATTTTTGGCTGAGTTCTCGATTTTCTCAAATTGAGAACTCAGTTCGACTTGAGAAATCATTTGGAGATTTTCTGAGATTTTGCTTGAGAGCAGGGAAATCTCATGAGTTTTCAAAAACTCCGTTTGAGCGAGCGCGCGGATTGGCCCGCCGGTTGGCCTGGCGGCGAGTCGGCGCAGCCACAGCATATCGTAGGCGTGTTGCGTAAGGCTGCGCACTTACAAAAATCGTCCACCCCGCCTTGACTGGCTCGTGGATCGCGAGCGCCACCACAAAATTTGATTTCTCACGCGAGCTCTCATCTCTGAGTTTCTCAAAACTCCAATTTAAAAACTGAGTTCTCAAGCTTTGTTTCGTGGAGTTTTAGCGTGAGCTCAAATTATCGGACCCTGCGGGAGAGGCTCTTTAAAAAATATGCATCCCTTCAACCTGTTTTCTTTCGATGAGAAACAAGTCGAAGTGGATTGAAAAATTTTTGAAGAAAGAATGGTCGCATCGAAATGAATGGTCGCGCAAAAGCAAGATTTAAAAACTGAGTATAAAAATGAAAAGAATGGGTTTATCTACAAAAAATGACGCGAAACGGCGTTCGCTAGAAGCGCTGTAATTTCGTGAAAAGCGTTTTTCTGACTAGCCAGCAGTCATTTTTATAATTAATTCTGTAGGGCGGACTCGGCGGCTTCTCCCATGGCCTCGATGACGAAGTTGAGCTGAGATTCGGTGCGTATCGACTTTTTGGCGGATTCGGAGCTGAACTTTATCGACGGGTTCAAAAGGTTAAACGCGTCAAAATCCGTTCCTTCATGCGTTGATCTCTGAGCGCGGAAAGAAGCTCAGCTGGCTTGGGTTCTTTTCCCTTGGAATATGCCGAAATGATTGAGTCGATGAGACAGTAAGCACCAGATCGAGAAGCTCCGTCGGGACAGATGACGACAGGCGATCCTGCGCGACGCGCCTTGCGACGGAATTCAAGCAAACGCTTCGCGGATGGTGGAGTGGAATTGAGAGGCCAGCCGAGGTAGTGGAGAAGAGTCACAGTTCGAGTTTCGCCAGTTTCGATCTGAGATGAAGAAACCTTCATTTTTGGCGAAGATCTTTCACTTACCTGTCTGAGATAAAGAGATCGGACAAGGAACTCTCGACACCAAACATGCTCCGTCACCAAATTGACCTCAATACCGCCATGCAACTCAGCCCCCTCATTAGGCCAGAATCTGGCAGATTGCGGCATGCCATCCTCTTGCAGTGGTGAAAGTAGGATCAGTGCTGAATATTAAGGGACCTTGTCGAGCAAATTTTTGCGCAACTTCACGAGCGCTTCATTCATTTTTTACTAGAGATATTTTGAAAATTCTTCTTAGTGACATAATCTACGGGCACTCCTTATTCTTATCCAGTTTTCAGCTTTTCTTTATCATTTGTAATTCAGTCGCTATGGCCAAAAAGAGAAGGTCAACTTCAAAGGGATTCAGCACTCTCATTTTTCAAGATATTAAATTATAATTACATTCACGGGAAAGCCCAGACAATTCTCTACAAAAATTCGCTCATGGGGTTTAATGAGAATCATTGAATGAGCGGTAAGAATCAGTAATCCGGAGCTATTAGCGCGCGCTTTGCGGGAATCATGTGCAAACAAGCCAAAATAATGCCTCGCGCAGCGCGAACGCCCGCTGTGGAACCGATCCAGTCCGGAAAAGATTGCCTTGATCTCGACAGGTTATTGTTATCATAACCCCATAAGCGAAGTTTTGTAGAGAATTGTCTGGGCTTTCCGGTGAATGTAATTATAATTTAATATCTTGAAAAATGAAAGTGCTGAATCCCTTTGAAGTTGAACTTCTCTTTTCGGCCATAGCGACTGAATTACAGATGATAAAGAAAAGCTGAAAACTGGATAGGAAAGAGGAGTGTCCGTAGATTATGTCATCAAAAAGAATTTTCAAAATATCTCAAGTCGAAACTGAATGAAGCGCTCGTGAAGTTGCGCAAAAGTTTGCTCGACAAGGTCCCTTAAGGGATGAGCGGTCTTATTCTGCAGATGGGGGCTTTACCTGTTCGCTCGCTCTCCCAAATCATTGTCCAGAATTCCGACAGTTGGCCTGGCAACGGAGATTGCGACAGGAGCCAACTGTCGTCAGCAAGTTTCACATTCGACGCGTTGTAGTACAAATCACTGGGAATACGGATAAAAATGGCTTTGACTGAATCGATTTTACCTCTGCTTGAACTTGAATCTGTTGCTTTCGTATGGCAGGTATCCAGGATCCCGATCTTTGCCAGGATGCTCTCCGCCTCCATTAGTCGACTCATCGCTGAACAAAGTGTTTTATCCAGTAATAATTCATGATACAAAGGAGAAAGTGGCCTATGCAAGAAATTCTGGGTAACGTACCTAGGCGAAGAATTAGCGTCACGCCAGGCGCTTCGGATTGCATTATCGTCTGTTGAGGCGGCTAAGAGGGACCGAGCTTGTTCTACCGTAAGTTCGTCGTTCGGCACTGTAAATGAACCGTTAGTTCTTGATGAGAACGGTTCAAACTCACGAAATCCATCTTTGCTATCAGACCAATCTGATGGCGAAATCTCCTGGGACTCCTTCGCTGCAAAATGTTGTCGACAAAGCTGTTCGTAATCTCCTGCTGGGAAGTCCATTGGAGGTTGTTTCTTGCGTCGGGTTGCGAAAAGAGTCAATCCGGAAATGACGAGAACGGCGCAGAGGAGTCCACCAGCGCCGAAGGTGAGGATCATTGCGCGTTTCTCTTCCTTGATTGCAAACAAATCGAGTCGGTCAATGTCCTTCTGGAGTTCTGGATCCGCCACGCGTTTTGCTTGTTGTGGTTTAAAATGCATCTATTACGGAACGACTGTAACTAAAGATGAACCATTCCTGGCATGGGCATTGGTTCAAGAACTTCTTCTGGCTCCGTAACGCGTTCGACAGTACCATCAGGGTTAATGTTCGTCTCATAATTATTTATTTTGCCATTGTCATCGGTGCTCACCTAGGTGTATGATTAATCAAGGAAAATTAAAGACGATGCAAGATAGAAGACGACAGTGTCCCGCCCGATTGACACTGGACATGATCAAAAATAAATCGATACCTTTGACACATTTACAGCGTCAATTAGCAGATCTGATGGAAACAGGACTTACTTTTATATGCTCTGGCCCGCCGTTGACTTGATATGATTCGCTTTGAAAGGATTTGAAATCGGATTCTAAAGTACAGTGGTGAATCCTCGATTGGGAAGGACGCGCTGAATCCTCGATTGGGAAGCGGCAGCGCATATAGCAAGCCAATCTCTAGAGAAGTGCGGTGCGGACCGAATCCTCGATTGGGAAGCGGCAAGTCAAAGTGACCTTCCCAATCGAGGATTCACCACTGTATCTTATTAAAGTCTCGAGAGAAACGAACTTTATGAATATTTTAGAGCAAAATAATTTGGACACTTATTTTTCTCATTTAAATTAGTCTGTCTTGAACATACTTGGCTCCGATGAGTCCCAAAAGAGGCCGCCACCATTGGAAGTCGATTGATCCTCGTAATCTGGCGGGGATCGTCTGTATTCTTGGACAAGTCGTGCAAGCTCCCGCTTTTCTAGCTGAATACAGTATTAAAGTGTTATTAGTATATTTATCCCACGCATATATTATGCAGGATAATACCCTGTCACTGGCACAAAAAGGAAGAATAAGAAGCTAATGAAAGCCTTGATTTTTTTGACGTCATTACCGACAGAATATAAATTACGCGCAGGCATATCATTAATTTAAAAATCATCCACATGTCAGGTTCAAAAAGAAAATTTTTTATGTACCTGTTTCTTGAGCAATTCTTTGCGTCTTCTTTCCAATTGCCGTTGATATTCGCTTTCTGCATCATGAATATTTGGGTAGCCAGGTTGATAGAGTTCCTGGTCTCGTTTACGACTGAATTTTCGATAGTTAATGTTTAGGGCTGATTTGTTTTACTTTGAAAGAGGGAGACAAGCACCAGCAGGATTTGCTTGAGTCCATATACAAACTTCTGTTGCTGCACAGTTATCCAAAATCCGACAGCCGCGCGCCTCCGCGGCGCTGAAAGTAGCTGAAACTTAATATTAACTGCTGTCGTTGATATTAATGTGACACTGGTTTCAATTATTCAATTGTCGATGGCATGGTATCTGATTGTTTTCAGTATATTGAAATGGAATTTTACGATTAGTTGTACGGATTTTTCCATTCACTAAAGATTTCAATAATTTTTTTCTTAGATAATCGCCTTTGATTGAAGCAAAAAATCTTTATTGAATATAATAAAATAACAATTATAGTATTCAAAGTGTGCTTATTGCTTTCAAGAAAAATTTGCTCAGAGTCTGATCCTCAGAACTTGATAAACGAGTTATGTAACTCACCAAATGTTGCAAAGACTCTCTTCAGTCTCATTCCATTTCTCTTGTGGGAGATGTTCGCAAAGGAGTGAACAGAAAAGGGATGATTCTCCTCGTTGGTGGCGCCGCGGCGCCGCCTATTCTGCAGCAAATCGATCGCCGATCCGAGAATCGCACTCGCCCTACCAAACAGTATTATCTTTGGGCACACAGGACATATACTATCACAAGCGTCCATCTCATTAGAAGAAAATCCAAAAAAACACCGCTGAAAAGCCCGAAGAAAGCTGAAATCAAGGAAGAAAGATGTTTTTTACATCATCATTCTCGATTTTGATCAATTTTATTTGATAGTTAAGGCTGATAGAGTTTATCAGTCTAAAGACTTCATTCACTGCTTGATTGTGAATGCGCAAGAAAAACCAGTTGAGAGACGTTTTTCATAATTTTCGAGAAAGACAACGATTTCTAGATTTCGCGATTATTTCACAAAACCGGCGCACCTATCCTCATTTTTCAAAAATTCGCCGAAGAGACCCCCGCTAACTGTCCTCGTTTCGGTAATGTAAGAGAGTGTTCAAAATGATAAGGGTTAGGAAAAGTGAATTAATCACTTTATCAATGAAGGAGGAACATTTCTAGCCGTAAAAAAAGACGTTTTATTGAACAATTTCTAGCATTTTGTGATGATTAGTTTTTCAAGAGATGATTCATTAGCGTCGAAAATTGAAATCTTCTCCGTTTTTATCAGAAATGACTCAGATCACGTGTGTCGCGCCGCGCATTCTTGATAAGAGAGCACATCGTTGTCATTTTATTTTCGCCATTTATTCGTCCGTTAGATGGAATCAGAAAAGCAAAATCCACGAAAACTCGAGTTCAAATGCTTTCATTTTCGGAAGTGTTGTTTTCCGATTTTTTCGAGCGCCTCGCGTGGCCTCTCAGACGCCGGTGCCAATCAGATCCAGAGAAAAATTTCTGTTTTTGCCTTCATTCGCCACAAACCTGCACCAGCGACGCACACATTTTCATTTTTTTCTGATTTTCACCTAGAGACCCAGAGACTTTACCTAACACCCTTAGCCCCTTTTGACTTTTGCCTCCCTTATTCTCAGACCTTCTTTTAACTACCACTACGATACACTATCAACGGACAAGAATTTTGACTCGAAAGCTGTCCAATTGTTTTCGATCCACAGTTGCTTATTTTTGACTTGAATTTTTCATTTTGACTCGAATACGGAAGGTTTATTGAGCTCTTTTTTCTTACTTTCGAAAAATTTTAAAGTTTTCTTCTTTTATCTTAATATTTGGAAATTCCTGACATTTTCTAGAATACTCTCTTACGTACAGTACCTTACAGTACAAATTTCGACCCACTCATTCAAACCTATTTCAATTTCTGTTCTTTCCCGAAAAATCACGTAGGCGGGGCGCGTGATGCTCTCTTCCATGTTTTCAAGTCATTTCTAGAACTATCCCATGTTTGTCGGCCCCGCCACTCTTCATCCCTCATTCTGAAATTTCTGCGATTTTTATGAAAAAGAGCTTTTTTTAACGCGTCAAAGATTTTAGCCGGGCACGGAAAACTCTCAACCAAATCAAAATCAGCACAATGGACGTTAGTCGACATCACAGTACTGCCAGCTTCGACGAGCAAATCGCCGGTAAGCCTTTTTTCATTTTTAGCCAATCAAAAACGTTTAAATCATCTTTTAGCGGTTCAAAATGATTCTAAAACGGTAATAACTTGCTGTTTTATGTGTAAGAGTGTTTGTATGACTTTAAGGGTGCTTAGTTCAATAGAAATCGGTGTTAACCCCCTAAAATCCGTTTTTTCTCTATTCTTAGCCCACCTAGATCGGAAAAGAAAGAGATAAGCGTAAATGGCGTAATCCACTAATCATTAAATGCATTATCATCTAATAAACCCTCATTTCCTTGCCTCTCCACCTTCCCACGCTAATTTACCATCCTTTAGGACACGCTGCCGAGCTCGGCGGCCATCTCGGCAAGTTGGTCTCCGACGAGACCAGCTCCGGATCTGGATCGAGCTCCGAGACCAGCTCTCCGTTGGATTCGCCTCGCCACTCGCCTTCCTTGTCGATCATTTCGACCCCTTCTCCACGAAAGGCTGGCATTTACGATTCTGACGAGACTGATGCCCTCAACTTCACCGACTTCTCCAAGCCCATGAACGGTAAGATAGCCACCGACGACAGCTCATTTTTGATGTTTTCAACTGTCCCAGTTGAAGATCTTATCAGCGCTAACCTCCGGTAAACCCTTAAAATTCAGTTGACAAGTACACTCCTTCGATGAAAAAGCGAGTCAAGGACGAGATCGAGCTCCCTCTCCGACCCGATGACGGAGGAACCCTCGGCCGGGCCATTTCGCTCAAAGGTAAACATTATCCTCTTCAATTCTAGAACTCAACCGTTCCTTCTCTTCAGCTAACGTCTTTCCACTCGTTGTGAGACCCAAGACCCCCTTCATCTACCACTACGATGTGGAAATCGCTTCTGACCGAATCAAGAAGGACGAGAAGCGAAGTTTCTTCTTGGACTTCTGCAAGGCCAACAAGATCATCTTCAAGACAGCAGGCCGATACGGCTTTGCTTATGACGGCGAAAAGAATATGTACACCATTGCCAAGCTCGACACTCCCCAAAAGCGATTCGTCGGCAAGGTAAGCAATCAACTATTTTGTCCTCCTTTTTAATCCAAATTCTAGTGCAGTTTTAAAGGCGACCAGGTCAAGGTCTGCCTCACCCTTGTTGGCGAGCTCAACGTCAACGCGTTGAACGATTTCCTCGAGGGCAAAGGGCGGGACTTCGGCGAGATGAGCTCTGACGTCATCGATGTTGTCAACGCGCTCAACATCGTCCTCCGCAACCAGCCTTCGAACAAGTACGTTTCCGTCCGTGGTGTCTCCGGCGCTGCCTTCTTCCCTGATCCTAAGTACGAGCCACTCGCCCTTGGCGGCGGCCTCGAGCTCTGGCCAGGTTACCATCAGTCGATTCGTCACTCGCAAGTTTGGAAGCCACTCCTCAACTTCGACGTTGCCAACACTGCCTTTTACACTGAGCAGAACATGATCGACTTTATCAAGGATACACTTCGCACTAACCAACTGCGAGGCAACTTCTCCAAACACGAGCTGATGAAAATCGAAAAAGCGTGCAAGGGACTCAAGATTGAGCCTACGCACCGACAAGGCGTTGTCCGACGATACAAGGTAAAAAATCATTGATTCAAATAATTTACCGATTTTAGATTATGGGACTTTCGCGAACCACAGCCCGAGACACCTACTTCGACGGCGAAAACGGCCGCATCAGTGTTGAGAACTACTTCTACGATAAGTACAATATGCGTCTCCGATACCCTGGACTCCCCGTCGCCAAATGCGGAGGCAAAGGCGCCCTATTGCCCCTCGAGGTTCTCAAGGTAAGATCAAGTGGGTTCATCGAACATAGTTTTAATGATCAATGTAGATTGCGCCCCGACAACGGTACCAGAAGAAACTTGGCGATCAACAGCTCGCCACCTTGATTCGATCAGCAGCGAAGCCCGCCAACGAGCGCCAGAGAGAAATCGAAGACTGGGTCCAGAAGGCCGCCATCAACGAGGACCCTGTTGCCAAAGCCTTCGGCATCTCCATGGAACACAATATGGTCAACCTCCGAGGACGAGTTCTCGAAGCTCCTCAACTTGAATACGGCGACAAGGTAGAGCCTCATCCCGAGAAAACAGCGATTAAATTAGTTTCAGATGTACGTCCGACCGCAGAAGGGTGCCTGGGACATTTCCCGAGGCAACTACCAATTCAAGAAGGCAGGATTCCTCTCCTCCTGGGCGATCATCTCCTTGGATGACCGAAACCGAAACACTATCAAGGACTTTGTTGGTGAAATGCAGCACCACGCCCGCCAACTCGGCTTCGACATCGCCCACCCTAAGAAGGCCTACGAAGCGTACCGAACTAACGATGTATGTTTCAGACCTGTTTTTCAGTCGAGAAATGTTCTCTTTTAGATCTTCAATCGCTTGGACGAGATCGTTGACTCCTGGCCAGATGTTCAGCTCGTTCTCTTCGTTGTCCCACGAAAGGACAGCCTCACCTATGCCGATGTCAAGCGCATCGCCGACACAGAAATTGGAGTTATGACGCAGGTCTTGTGCGCGCAGACGATGCAGAAGGCGATGAAGCAGGCATCCACCATGTTGAACTTGTTGCTCAAGATCAACGTCAAGGTTGGCGGCCAAAATGTCTCCATCCCATCTAAGCTTCGATCGCCCATCATGAGTGAGCCCGTTATCGTTCTCGGTAAGTTATTTAAAGTTTCTTCCTTGTTTTCAACTGACTCTAGGAGCTGACGTGACCCATCCCGCCGCCGGTGAATTTGGCCGACCATCGATTGCTGCCATCGTTGGCTCAATGGACCCGGTTCCATCCAAGGTGATTTTAGTTTTCAACCATAGTTCTCACCTTTGACTTCAGTTCATCGCCACAGTCTCGGTGCAGGAGCGCCGACTCGAGTACATTGCCGACACCAAGAATATGATCAAAAAACTGCTCAAGAAATTCTACTCCAAGAACAAGAAGAAGCCTCAGAAGATCATCATGTACCGAGATGGCGTCGGCGAGGGTCAATTCAAGCTCGTTCTTGCGCACGAAATGCGAGCCATTCGAGAAGCTTGCCTCGAACTCGAGAAGGATGGTGGGTACACTCCTGGCATCACCTTCGTCTGCGTCCAGAAGCGTCACCATATGCGACTTTTCTGCAACGACCGAAATGATATGGTAAGAGAACTTACAATACTTGTCAAAATTCAACCCTTTCTTTCAGGTCGGTAAGTCGAACAACATTCCCGCTGGTACCGTGGTCGACACCAACATCTGCCACCCGAGCCAATACGATTTCTACCTCTGCTCGCACGCGGGAATCCAGGTAAAACTATTCCTTCTCTTTCTTGTCTTCAGCTTATGATTTTAGGGAACTTCTCGGCCAACACACTACCATGTGTTGCACGACGACAACGATTACAAGTCGGACGTTCTCCAGAACTTCACCTACCAGCTGTGCCATACGTAAGTCGTTCACCCTTTTCGTCCGATTCATTTAAAATTCAGTTACGTACGATGCACTCGGTCGGTCTCCATTCCTGCGCCGACCTACTACTCCCATCTCGTCGCCTTCCGTGCTCGATACCATCTCCAATCTGTCGTTGACGGTGACGGGTAAGCCGTTAAAAATAGCTTCCAATTCTTACCAGATCTTCTAGTGACTCTTCCTACGGCGGCTACCGTGGCGGTCCCCCACCAGCTCTCGATCTCCACAAGTTGGACCAGATGATCACTGTCCGATCTGAACTCTCCAGCTTGATGTACTTCGTCTAAGCTCCTCCTCTATTTACTCGTATAATCCCCTCTCCTATAATCCCATATAATCCTATCATAACCTTCTCTCTCCGTCCTCAAGCGACATATCTATCCAACCAAGTCCTGATACCCCCAGTAGCCTACTGAACCTTAAAGTTTTCCTACTCACGCCAAGCAGCTCCGCGCCAAGGGACCTAGGCAAAGGTCACTTGGTCCGGAGTCACTTTTTTGTCTGTTCATTTAACTTTTCTGCTCCTTCTTTTCGGAATCACAGGTAGCTACTTTCAAATTATGTGTCAGAATATATATATTTAACCAACAATGAATTAAGATAATAAACGGCTCTTTTTGAAAGTAAAAAAGATCCGTTTTTTGTGTCCAGTTGTTTCTTTGAAAGGGTACTACGTGACTTCTAGTAAATATCGAAATTCCCCAAATCCGGATGGAATTTGTTCACTTCGCATCCTTCCGCCCGGCTGATGGCAACAAATGCCTAGCTTTGATTCTTCGCGGAAGCGGCAAATTATGCAAAATGCGGGACAAAGTGAACGAGCCGGTTTCAATCCCTTTGAATTGAACCGTGCTTTTTAGGCTGACAAAATACCGGTATCAAAAAAAGCTAAAAACGAGAAAGCACCATTTTTCCCCTGCTCATCAATTAGATCAGCTACGGCTACGGTAATTGCGAATTAAAAAATTCCGTCTGAATCGAGCGAGAACACGTGTTCGCGAGGTGAGAGTGCTGAAAATTCCAGGATTTGCACTTGTTTGTTTATTCACAAGAGTGCTCAACCGCGGCTCACACCATTCCGTAATTTATCCATTATTTTTTCGCGCTGTGGATATTTTCCTGTTGTGAAAATAATCAAAGTCGAAAAGGGGTTGATTTTGACATTTAGAAAGACCATTTTCTGATTCCATAAAAACAGACCACCCGGATGGAAATTTTTAATCCAAATTTTACCTAACGACTTTTTTATCCAGGATGATGTGTATTTAATGTGCCATCAGACCACCTATAAAGGCCATAAAGCCCCCATAAAATCATAATTTCGCTCCATCCAAGATTTCAGCTCGCGTCAGCGCACATTTACGATGTGTTCTGAACGTAACAAAAACCCGATAATTACAAACTTGTTTGATGTTTCCTCTTTGACAACGGATTCAAATTTTCGCGCTGGTGGAGCATCGATTTATGCGACGCGCGCGCAAATATGCGGGTAGGGGGATTTATGGGGAGATTTGACATTTCCGCATTTTCAGAAGAGGCTCTCAGACCATTGTGAGCCCGATCGGTGCAAATTTGGAAACTAACACGTGACCTATTTGCTCGAACAGGTTGGACCAGGGTTCCAAATTTGGCCAAAAAATTTTGAATTTGAGCGAGCGATGAGCGAGCGACATTTGAGCGAGGGCTGAGCGAGCGAGTGGCTGAGCGAGATTTTTCAAATATCGGCTGAGCGAGCGGAGCGACTGAGCGAGCGACGTTTGAGCGAGATTTGAGCGAGGTTTGAGCGAAATCTGAGCGACATTTGAGCGACATTTGAGCGACGCTCGAGCGAAAATTTTGTCTTTCAAAAGCGGGTAATTTTGATTTTTATATAAAGTAAGTTATTCTGACATATTTATATTGTCTGAAAATTAAAAAAGGCAATCCTATAATTTTGGGTGCCAGTAGAGTAATTCTCAACCAAACTCAGATTTTGGCATAAAATCACAAATTAATTGAGCGCGCGACGAGGCAGAGGCCCTTACGCGCGCATTTTCTGGTAGAGAACTCATTGGGTTGGCGGGGCAAAACTCTCGCTCTTGTTCAGAACAATTTCCTAGGTCATAGTTGGGTCGAATGAGAGCCGGATGGTTTCGGACCGGGCGACGCTGGGCGGCGCAGGGCGGCACAATTCAGTACCCCCCAAAATTTTTACTACCCCAGGCATTCAAATTTGCCAAAAAATCAAGGCGAAAGCGAAGCAAAGGCGAAAACATTTCAATGTTCGTCAAGCGAAGCAAGAAAATTTTGGTTGACGAACGGTTCGCCAAAATAGACCTCGGTACGGTTCGATGAGAAGGTTCTTAGCGAACCTTACTTCATTTTTCTGGTCATCAAAAGAAGTTCTTTTATAGCCCAATCTCGCTGCTCCCGCATTTCCCAAAATCCCGCATTTCTCAAATCGCCAATTCAGAATTCTGCCGATTCAGGATTTTTGGAAATGGAGGATTGAGAAAAGCAGGATTTTGAGGAATGAAGGATTCAGCTAAAATTTCATGTCCGTTTGGTCTCCATTTGCCAAAGTCGCCGTTTGCCCAAAATCCTGAATCGGCGGAATTAACGATTTTCAATAAGGATTTCTGAGTGAAATTCAGACCTCTCTTTTTTATTAGCTCATTCGAAAGAGCTCAAAAAATTAACCGAAAAACACCCAAAAAATCTTGAAGTTTTATTGAAAATGACGTCACTGCACGTGATTAAAGTTCCAAAGTACCGGATTTCTCCTACGCCCGCATTTATGAGTCCTCTTGGCTATCCGGGCGTATGATACATGAAAATGATCGTCTTGTTGAGCTCAAGGTCAGCATTTAGTTTCATACCTTCTCAACCTTTCTTTATCAAAATCAATATTTTCGGCATACAGCTGATTTAAAAAGGGTTGAAAGAATTTGTAAAATGGGATGAAAATTAAATGCTGACCTAGAGCTCAACGAGACGATCATTTTTATGTATCACACGCCCGGGTGGCTAAGAGGACTTAGAAATGCGGGCGTAGGAGAAATCCAGTACTTTTAAAACTTCAATCACGTGCTGTGACGTCATGTTCGACACAATTTCAAAATTTTCCGGATTTTTCTTGGGTAATTTTTACGCTCTTTCGAATGAGCTATTAAAAAAGGGGGGTCAGGATTTCACTCAGAAATCCTTATTGAAAATCGGATTCAGGATTATCCTGATTTGGCGATTTGAGAAATACGGGATTTTGGGAAATGCGGGAGAAGCCTGGATTATACGGTACAATTTATATCTATAATCATGCCTGTTGATTTCGAGTCCTTTGGTTTTACCTGGCATTTTTTTCCGGGCGACCCGCAAATTTTTCTACGGGTTACTCGCGCGGAGACCCGTGCGAGTAAATCGAGTAAATGGGTAAAGGATAATCGCGAGCTACTCGTGAAAATTTCGACAAGAATGAAGATAATTCGCCCGTCTGATTGGCTCGGGAAAAGGGTTGCAGGTAATCGCGAGCTACTCGGCGGAAAGGAGAAAACAAATAGCGCGGGTAGCCCGTGAAAAGACTCTCCGTGCGAGTAACCCGCTGAAAAATCTGCGGGCTGCCCGGAAAAATAGTGCCGGGTAAAATCAAAGGACTCGAAATCAACAGCCATGCCTATAATCAAAATCAGGCTAGCCGTAAAATATTCTATGTTAACCTACTCAACAGTTGTAGACGGCGGGGAAAACCCAACGACCTAACACGCCAACTGGATATTGAAAGTTAACATAACCAATTTTTGAGGTTAGTCTAATTGTTGAAGAAACCTGTTGAATGGCTGTAATAATCGAAAAAGAACTAAGGAAGCACTCGTAAAAAATAAATTATCGGGTTGGCTTGGGTATCAATGATAAATCAGGCTGACCGAAAAATATTATATGTTAACTCACTCAACAGATGTAGACGGCGGGGAAAACCCAACGACCTAACACGCCACCTGGATATTGTGAGCTAACAAAACCAATTTTTTAGTCGAGCCTAAATTTTGAAAAAATGTTTGGCTGAGGACGGTGGGTTTCAGCGAAAATAATTTTTTTATTGTTACCAACTCAATAGTTGTAGACGGCGGGGAAAACCCAAGGACCTAACACGCCAACTGTATATTGCTGGCAACAATATGTTAAAATTATTCGCAGAATTTATTTAAAATTCTCTCTTTTTAATAAATCCGTGACTTAAAATCCTCCCCATTCATTCGCTTACCGCCAAGGAGTTTTTAGATCTTGGCCAATAAGAGCGGAGAATTGGCTAGTGAGTAATAAACTTCGCTCAAGCGTCGCTCAAACCTCGCTCGAGCGGCGCTCAAACCTCGCTCCAACGTCGCTCAAACCTCGCTCCAAAGTCGCTCCAGCCTCGCTCAAACCTCGCTCAGCTATCATATTTTTTGGCCTTGAGCGAGCGAGCGACTGAGCGGTTCGCTATGAAAATCAGTTGAGTGAGCGGAGCGTGAGCGATCGCTCGCTCGCTCACCGCTCGCTCACGCTCAGATGTCGCTCAGCGCTCAGCCAGAATTGGAACCCTGGGTTGGACAGGGGTTGAAATTATAAAAAATTGATTTACGGGCGACAGCTTGGTACATTCAAAACGATCTGAAGAAGAAATTCTACGAGTTCGAAGATCTGGAAGTCGAAAGTTTCCTGGCAAAGCCTTTTTGAGTTTCTCAAAAAGTCCCTCTTTCTCGACGGCTAGGGACCCAACGGAACCAGCAACAGAAACATATTCATCAAAAATTCACCAATTTTCCGCCTTTCCGCTCATCCCTCATCGCTGAGCGGTAAATCAAAATTTTCAGATTTGCCCTGTCAAACTTCTGTACGCATAGCCGGTGCTTGGCTTGATCTTTTTAAATTTCCCACTCGGCTCGTTTGTCCTTTCATCCCGCTTTTCTGGCCTCAACAAAGGTTTTGACTACTCTTTTGACAAGCAAGTAATGCTGCTTTTTCAACCCTGGCTTTTGTTTTGCCTCTTCGGGACAACAAAACCTTCAGATGTTATCACGTGACACTACAGATTAGGGCGCTTATGCGACCTATTGACCCCCATAAGAGCCATAAGCAGGCGATTATCCCCATTGAGAGTGCGATTTCCGGCAAATCCGGATCACTTTTTTTTGTTCAACAAAAAGTCCTTTTTTTGCCGCCAGAAATGAAAAGCAAAACTAGTTTGCGAAACAGAATAATTCATATTTTCATCGCAAAACTGTTTCTCATGTCGGCCACTTGCTTGATCCCTATCCATCTCCAATTTGATTAAGGCACTCTTGATAAGAAAAAAAAACTTCATCGATTAGCATCCGCTCGATCTGATAAATTCTAGTGCTCACTCAAAAGGGCCTCTTTAGGAGAAACATCCAGCAACTGATTATTTAGCAAACATTTCGCGATCGCGAATAATGATTATTTCGCCTCTTGAATTCAATATTTTATCAAATCAATGAGCCACAACGCACTTGAAAATGTTTCGATTTACATTCAACACCAGTTTGGTGTTTTGTATTTACACCACCAGATGTTAAACTTTGGCGTTTTTAAACTTGGTGGAGCGTTTTCGATTTTTGCTTGTGGTGAAGCGAATTTAACCTTCGCTAACACCTTTTGTGGGTATTTTTAGGAACCAAAATCTGTTTGGGGAAGCGTCGAAACCGATTAAACCCAAGATTTACACGCATAAAAAACTGAAAAAAAAAAGACAATCAAAAGATCACTTTTTTCCAAAATTAGTAACTGCTCGATCAAAACCCACTGGACCAGTTTTTATCAGAGGCACTTTTACCGGGCAATTAGCCTTCGGAAAATGACCCTATCTCATAATGATTATTGCCCCTAATTCATAAAGGGAAACTGGGTCCAATTATCGAAACCCATCCGAAAGCGCCTCAGTGAGTCCTCAAATTGATATTCTTGAGCAATTTTTGTAACCTTTGCCGTGGCATGAAATCGCGGCAAACAGAAAAACAAACGACAAAGAAAGTAAACAGACACTTGTTGGAAATGGAAGCCGACTGGGTTCAAAAAAGCAGCAGAAATTACAATATCAGTTCTTCAGTTTCAAAACTCGGTCGCTTTCTCATGCCCAGAATAATGGTCTTATATAAATTTTTTCATTAAAAAACTTGATTTGGACAGAGAATAGCTTGCTTATTTTAACTTATAAATGTCTTTTGATTGTTAGTCCTGCGTTTTTGCATCGAAATAAGTAAAGAAACAAGATTTGTTTTGTGTCTGATTTGATATTATATTTACAAATGTGCAAGAACATTATGGCAGTGAAATGATAATTGTTCATGTGCAGGCGTTTGTTCAGAGAAATAGATTATTGAGCTTCAGTTACTGACAGTTACTCCGTCTTGAGCCATTTATCCTCCGCGAGTTGAGCAAGTGTTGGTCGATGAGCAGGATTCAGCGACATCATTTTCTTGAGCAGGCTTTGAGCGTCTTCCGATAAGCTTGTGATCTGAATTAGTTTTCAGTTAGTTCCGTGAAATGAGATAGGCAAGGAAGGTTGTCTACTTTGGCACCGGGGGTTCAGGTTTACTCCTGCGGTTTGGCTCTGTACGCGAACTTGGACGCGGACTCGGGCAGGGAGTATTTAAGGGTGTACTAAGAGGGTTAGGGTTTCTTGATAAATGTTTTTGGTAGGCTTGAGGAGACGTTCTTGGCTCCGCATGTCTACCAGAATAATCATCTTTTTGAATAAGGAAGAAGTTCTTGGGTTGAATTTCCTCGATATTCAATTCGTTGGTTCTGAAAAATGGCATTTTCTATCCAGCTTTCAAGATCAACTTTCGATTCATTTCACCATATATTTTTTTTCTATACGAACCGGGTAACGAAACACTCGTTTCGTTATCTCCTCCGATGTCTGAAATGGCAAGTCGCCGACAAGCATCACAAAAAGGAGAGCTCCCAGACTCCAGACAGTGCAGGATTCTGGAGAGTAGACGCCAGTGGTGTAGACTTCGGGAGGAAAGAACTCGGGAGTGCCGGCGATTTCTGTCAGTTTGTCGTCTTTTTTGAAAGTTGTTGCGCAGCCGAAATCGATGATCTTTGTTTCGAGGGTGTCGACGTCGACGAGGATGTTTTCGTCTTTGATATCGCGGTGGAGGATTCCAGCTTCGTGCAGTTTGGAGCAGGTCGAGACAATCTGTGAGAAGATGATGCGCGCAGGATCTTCTGAAAAAGCACCGAGGCGCGAGGAGAGTTCGAATAAATCCACTGAGTTCTCTGGTCGTTCCATCACACAAACGAAGCTAAAGAATTCATCATTAGATTATTGATTTCTTGAAGCCAATTATTACCTTGATTTGCGTTCAAACCAATCAAGCACTTGAACGACTCCTTCGCACTTTTCAGCATCGAGATGCATTTTGAACTCGTTTGGAACAACTCGTCCGGAAATTTCTGACCATGTTCCCACTTTTGACTTTGGGACTTGTTTCACGCAAACTGGGATTTTATCCTCCTTTCTGAAGCCTAAAAAGATTGTGAGGACTATTTTATGAGGGTTTCTTTACCTTTGTAGATGATGCCATTTGCGGAATTGTTGATGACTTTTTCGACAAAATACTTTTCCTTGAAGATTCGATTCTCTCTTGACAAAACTCGGATCTTCTCGGTAGTAGTCTCTGCGGCTCTTTCTGATCGGTCGGAGTTGTATCCTTCGTCGGATATTTGTGAGATGTTTCTCTTGCCCATTTTCAAAAAAAGAATCAAGTTTGTTTGTTTTGGGATTTGTAAAAATTGAAAAATTAGCTGTTGGTTTCACTTTCAAGAGAGTCTCGATGTGTTCTGAATTTTCCGCGAAAATCCAAAAGTTAAAGCTCGCGCTCGTTTCCCCGCAGCGCCCTCACAAAACGCGCCGGAGCGCCGTTGCGTCCGCGCGTTTTGCGCTCGCCCGTCGCGCTAAGCAGGATGTTGCACTAAGGATGAGGCGGATCATGTGTCGTTAACTGGCTGGGGGATGAATGCTCTGAAGTTCGCCGAGGATAGTATTTTTAGCACAATTACGACGAAACGGACCTGCTGAGCGGATGTATGTGATGACAGGAAAGTCTAAATGGGGTCATTTTGCACCGTTTTCAAACTGACTGTTTGAATTTGAAAGGTGGATATTTTTAGACTTAGCAAGTGCTGTGGGAGAGAGCTGAGATTAGGGAAAATTTTTTGATTGTCTAAGCGTCTTCCAGCAAAATGAAATTGCTGATCATTGGTTGTCAAACTAACAAGGTCTTATTAGGGCTTATTAGCTCGATCAAAATCTGTCACACTCTGCTACTGGCCTAGAACTTCCACCCTTCCGGTTTCGAGCACTTCCTCTTCAAACTTTTCTCCTCGCCAGCCACCTGTCAAAGCGACCGGTAGAGCAACTCTCTGTGCAAAAAGGAAAGTAATTGATCAGTTTTGACACGCGCGAGCCATGAGCGAGTTGGGCACTATCCAATCACGCGGAAATTATAAAAATGAAATTTGCTAATTGCCGTGTTCAAAAGCCCATAAAATCATTATTGCTTTGGCATCAAGCAAAAGTGAAACTATAATGGATTAGTTTATCGAGTACTTTATCATTCAGTCACAGAGTAGGCGCATTTAAAGGTCTTCCTGAAGTTGAAAGAGCAATGATTTCAACCCTCTCCTTTTCCAAGATTTTGTTAGAAGAGGATGCCTTCTGTCTGACTACAGTAACTTATCCAACAAAGCCTCCCCAGCTACCCATTCCCAGAAAGGATCCTCTCGACACATGGCCAGGATTTCAAGGGCCTTTCTCTAGAATTTCCCGCGCCGCAGGTGGCAAACTTGACAATCCCTCCTTACTAGAACCGGTCGATCGGGCAACAACAGGTGGCACAGTGGGGAATTAGCCTAGCCCTAGAAACTCTTGCCTCAAATCAATATCATTCTATTGTGAAGCCTTTTCCCTCGGAAGTCACTTTATCGACCCTAAACACAACTAGTGCTCATCATATCCAATCTGGGAGCAAATCTGGAATACGAGTGAGAACGATAAGTGTATTTACAGTAAGCAGAATATGTTCAGTGTGAAAAAACATGAGCTTGAGCATGTTTGTAGCGATGCGCGCGTCTGTGCGGAAACGCATATTTCTTCTTCTCGGAATTTTGCCCAAAATCCGCGAAAAAATTATCTCCACCACCACAAACATCTCCATTCTCACCGCAGAGAAAACCCGTTGAACAAAACACATTCACCTTCGAAAACAAAACTTGGCCCAGAAAATATCGAGACGGGGGTTCAGATTTGTAATAACGCTTCCACGTAACGCCGCTAAGCCTGGTCATAAATCGCGCGGCGCAGATCAAAAAAGGGTTGACAGGGCCCGCTGTGACCCCGAGTGGGAAGCTTTTTCAGAATTTTTGGATAGTTTTTGAAACCCCGCGACGAAAATTTCCCAGAGGAGCTCAACCTGCTCTCTAAAAATAGGGACAGAATCGATCGGAAACGAATTTATGCCCGTTGAAATATAACCATCAAAATTTTCTTCATACAGTTAGACAGCAAAGAAGAGACTCTTATCTGCTATTCTGATAAGAATTATCATTGTGGGACTCCTAAGTCCTCCATAATCATACTAATTTGCCCAGTCAATTGAGCTCAGATCTACCGGAAACTCAGACTTCCTCCTAATCCCCCAAAATAACCCTATTTAGCGCAACCGACTGTAACTAAAACAATGTAGCAATACAATCACAGCTGTGCGGAAAATCCCGGTTTGTTACTTTTGATTTAACAACTTTCGCCCAACCCCACAAAAGGGTTTAATTCGCCTTTGATGAGGGTAGCTATTATTCGAATCCGTTCGCGGCCGGTATCACGTGCTCGAGGAACACGCACGTGATCAATTGATCACGTGATGATCTTACTATTAGAAACACTTTTTTAGGATCAAACAGGTGACGCTTTTGTTCAACTCACAAAAGTTATTATTTGATAAACCAACCGCGCGGTCTCTTGAAACGGATCGAAAAATTGGGGGATCACTGGGTAAGCCAGGGCCGAGAGAAGGGGATTCTAGGAAAGAATAACAAAGCCTTGGCAAAGAAAAATATTAGGAAAAATGTGTATCTGAGTAGAGCTCAAGGTTTTAAATAATTAACCAGGGCTTTCTAGGAAACTGGATTTTGGGGGAATTTAACCTCCAAAAGTGGAAAGGTTTTCGACTTTCGACCTTTCTCCCCTTGAGACGAAGCCAATTTGAAGGGCTTTAGTATTCTTTTCTAGGATTATAGGAATCCCCATTGAATGTTAGGCCGTTTAGTCTTTATATTCTTTTTGAACCGAAGCATATAAAATTCGAAATGAATTTGCTCAGCTCGCGAATTTTGGAGAGTTCCCAAAAATTTTCTCCCCGTAATCATGAGCCATTTGTCCGATAAAAATTCCGATAAACATGTTTGTTTAGTACTTTCTTCTCACAGTCGCTGGCTTTGACATTGACCCTGCCCATTCACTTTGGCCGCCCCTATGTGTAAATACAATTATGAAGGCCCCTTTTTGGCGCAAGTTCAAAATCAAAAGCTTCTCACGAATTTGAAAACTTAAACCAAAAGTTAAATATTATTCAAAGCCCTGAAAAATTCAAATCAAATTGCGCATTGTAAAATTGGCCGCGCGCCGGAGAACCTATTTTGAACTTGGCGCCGACTTTCTGCGAAAAAAGCTATGATTTTGTTTTGATCCGCGGATTAATGAGCTCGAATTATGAAAGAGACGGAACCTGGCGGGAAACCAAGTTAAGATAAGAGGAGACATTTACCTTATCGCATGCTTTCTCCAAGAGCTAGAATAACAAGCACTTGACTGGTTTTCCGGGAAAAAGTGGAGCCGGTCTGACCGGATTCCGCGAAATGGGATCATTCCGCGCGCCCAAGCGGAACACTGTGTATCTGAAAAGTAAACTGGTCGGCTTGGTTTCCTGACCTTTAGCTTCGGATGTGTACATTTTGGCACTCGGGTTTCGGGGGTAGAACTTTCTCAGAGCGCTAGAAATCAATTCACTCTTCTACAATCAAAATATTGGAAAAGTCAATTTTATGCTCTTTTCTTGAAACAACAATGCTCCACGAGAAGTCTGTCTAACTTTATTGATGCTCTAAAAAGACAGCTCTGCCCTTATACAGTTTATAAGCCAAGAATGCCATTGAAATTGAACCAAAAACTGCTTGTTTGCCCTTTTTCCGGTCTCAGGCGCGTCGGAAACATTCATTTTTTCGCTGGTTGAACCGCAAAATCGGACCGGTAATTAACGCGTGCCACCTGATCAATGTCAAGACTGCTTCAAGGCGAACATTTCTTCCTGTGAAAATATAAACAACAACAAGATGAGGCTTGAAATTAGGGATTTTGAAGACATGAGATGGAATTTTAGAGCGCTCAACTAAAACCTTTGATCCACCGCGTGTTTTTAAAGAGCGAGATGAATTATTATGTTTATTTCAGTTCTCTCCATAAAGTTTCAAAAATTTGTAATCAGTCGTATCTCGAGCTGCTCTCCGCGAACGTTCTACTCGGGAAACCTTCTTCGGATTAGAATCTTTCCAAAAATTGATAGTCAGAGAATGCTCCAAACTCGTATCTGCAAGTAAATTTTCTCCAAAATCATCTCCTTGATAATAACAGCCGTCTTTCGAATGAATCCATCTGTGCGAAAAACCTTCTAACGTTTCGTTTTGCTTTCTGTCCATAATTTGATCTGTAAATGGGTTCCATTGTAATTTCCTCTTTACTCTGTCATCTCCTATTAGAAAATCTATCCCACTATAATACGATTCGTGTATTTCCTTCGTTATGAATGGTTTTTTCGCTGTTTTTTTCTTGACAGAGTGGACCAAAGTTACTCGGTAATAGAAAGTATCTCCTGGGCATTCGATAGAAACATTCCAGGGGAAAGTTTCTTTTGGTAACCATTCAAATTCGAAAAGCCAATCGTTCGTCCAGTAGTTGGTTAGTTTAAAGGCGCTCGATAACTAAAATTTTTCAATAGCACTATCATATTATTAATTTTACTTTTATATTAACAGGAATATGGCCATTACTCAGTACTTTCAGTAGAAGGAATACATCGTGGACATTTGTTACTGCATTGCGAGTTGTTGCATCTCTTGAAATGCATAGCATCTGCTTTTTATTCATCTCATCTAGTTGCTTCGTCGTAAGTTTATTTTTCTGGCCTCCAAACTGAGTGTCGCGAATAAGATTCTTCATTTTTTCATCTGATTCTCGATAGAAAGTTCGATACTCCGTGTGCTCTTTAGAAAATTTTTCCACAATAACAGTAGATTCATCCATTTTGAGGTCATATTCTTGACATTTCAATTCCAAAGTTTCGACCTTCTTCTCGAGTTCAGTGCACCTGTTTTTAGTTGCTGCAAGCTCAGACTTGAGTTCCATATAAGAACCCGAAAGAGTATCAAATGCTTTCTCGCGCTGAGCGATGAAATCCTTTACCGACTCAAGAACTTCGACTCTTATGTCGTTTTTCAATTCTTGCAATTTTTCCTCGGTCAGAAATGCGCTGGTGCTATGAGAATTACTAAAGAATAGGCGCTAGTTTTCATGCTTATACGAACCTTGTAAAGCGGCTCTCTGTTTCAGACTCAAGATCATCATAATCTGGCCTCGCTTCAGAAGACATTTAGATCAATTCCTCGATGAAATTTTAAACTGAAAGTGTTTGAGCCCA